TGTTACTTGTCATACAAACCCTATCATTATACAAACTTTTAGTTACAATTGATTGAACGAGGTTAGGGTAAATATGTAGAGTTCGGTAGCTAGGACTGGAGAAGGTTGAATAGGGACAGTAACATTAGGGTTGAGTAGGGAAGGTTATATTGGGAAAGAGAATAGATGGTAAGGAAAGGGTGGAGAAAGAAGAAGGTAGGGAAAGGGCTGGGTTGGAAAGGTCATGTTATGGGTGAGAAGGAAAGGTTAGGTTAGAGTAGGGAAGGGTATGTTAAGGTTGAGTAGGGAAGGTTAGGCTACTTTTGAGTAGGAAAATGCATGTTAGGGATGAGAAGGTAGGGTTAGGTTAGGGTAGGAAAGGTAAGGCTAAGGTTGAGTAGGGAAGATTAGGTTAGGATTGAGTAGGAAAGGTTATGTTAGGGTCGAGTAGGTAAGGTTAGGTTAGGATGAGTAGGAAAGGTTAGGTTAGAAATAAGTAGGAAAGGTTAGGTTTGGGATGAGTAGGAAAGGTAAGGTTAGAGTTGAGTAGGGAAGGATAGGTTAGGAACGAATAGGGAAGGCTAGGTTAGGAATGAGTAGGAAAGGTTAGGTTAGGGTTGAGTAGGGAAGGTTTAGGCTAGGGTGGAGTAGGAAAGGTTCGGTTAGGGATGAGTAGGAAAAGTTAGGTTAGGGATGAGTAGGGAAGGTTTATGCTAGGGTGGAGTAGTAAAGGTTCGGTTAGGGATGAGTAGGAAAGGTCAGGTTAGGGATGAGTAGGGAAGGTTTAGGCTAGGGTGGAGTAGTAAAGGTTCGGTTAGGGATGAGTAGGAAAGGTTAGGTTAGGGATGAGTAGGAAAGGTTTTGTTAGGGATGAGTAGGAAAGGTTAGGTTGTGAAACAAAAGAGTCAGCTTATATCGGTAGTCTTGGTTGTAAATGGAAAAGGGTTAACAATAAAGGAAAAGGATTATGAAACATCCAAGTAAGTAAACATGGATTGAAAAACAGTATTGCTACGAACTCAGGGACAGATCTAAGTATATAAAAATGAAAGAAAAGGGTTGGCAGTGAAGAGAATGATGGGTTGACTATGAAGAAAAAAGGGTTTGAAGGGAAGGGAAAATATTGTGAAGGGAATACTATGGTAGTGAAGAAAGGTTGGTCATGAACTGAAGAACGGGTATACAGTAAATGCAGGGATATGCTGAGCATTGTTATGAAGGGAGGGGTAGGATTAAGAAGGAAAAACTTGCATGATGAGTATATATATAATACCCCAGCTTGGGGAGTCAAATCTAGAACGAAAACTTAATCCACAAATATATAATAGAGTTGTTCTGATATAAGAAAAATACTTCTTTAGTGTAATCATAGACGCAAACCTTATCAAAATAATACATTAGCACTGGAGTAGAATATAATAGTACTGGAGTAGAATAGAATAGTACTGGAGTAGAATAGAATAGTACTGGAGTAGAATAGAATAGTACTGGAGCAGAATAGAATAGTACTGGAGTAGAATATAATAGTACAAGAATAGAGTAGAGTTAGCACCGGAGTAGAATAGAGTAGAGTTAGCACTGGAGTAGAATAAAGTAGAGTTAGCACTGGAGTAGAATAGAGTAGAGTTAGCACTGGAGTAGAATAGAGTATAGTTAGCACCGGAGTAGAATAGAGTAGTTAGCGCTGGAATATAATAGAATAGAGTTAGTGCTGGAGTAGAATAGAGTAGAGTTAGCTCCGGAGTAGAATAGAGTAGAGTTAGCACCGGATTAGAATAGAGTTAGCACCGTAGTAGAATAGAGTAGAGTTAGCACTGGAGTAGAATAGAGTAGAGTTAGCACTGGAGTAGAATAGAGTAGAGTTAGCACCGGAGTAGAATAGAGAAGTAAGCGTTGGAATAGAATAGAATAAAGTTAGCACTGGAGTAGAATAGAGTAAAGTTAGCACTGGAGTAGAATAGAATAGAGTTAGCACTGGAGTAGAATAGAGTAGAGTTAGCACTGGAGTAGAATAGAATAGAGTTAGCACTGGAGTAGAATTGAATAAAGTTAGCACTGGAGTAGAATAGAGTAGAGTTAGCACTAGAGTAAAAAAGAATAGTTAGCGCTGAAGTAGAATTGAATGTACTGGAATATAATAGAATTAGTACTGGAGTAGAATAGAATAGAGTTAGCTCTGGAGTAGAATAAAATTTACTGGAATAGAATAGAATTAATACTAGTATAGAATAGAATTGAGTTAGCACTGGAGTAAAATATAATAGAGTTATTACTAATCTTAAAAATACATAATGTGAAATATCTAAGGTTTACGACATAAAGTTGCGAAGATATAAGGGTTAGGAGTTAAGAGTTTAAGGCAAAGACTCAATTTCTTTGAAATGTTGTTTAAATCTTAACCTTTATATTTTAGAAATATTGTTTAAATCTTAACCTTTATATTTTAGAAATATTGTTTAAATCTTAATATATTTTAGAAATATTGTTTAAATCTTAACCTTTATATTTTAGAAATATTGTTTAAATCTTAACCTTTATATTTTAGAAATATTGTTTTTCAATATTCTCGTAACACAAATAATTGCCCTATGAATGATCAGTGATGAATAAATAATCGAAAAAATATTTACACTAATCTTATTTTTCTTTCGTTTTATTTAATATTTGATGTGAGAGGACCATAACATCTTCATCAATTCTTCATCAATGAATATTTAGTGAAAGCAAACTTTTAAGTGCAGGACGAACTTCGTTTAGTTTTCACAACAATACAGTTCTTACTCGACCCATCAATAAAATATCTTTATTCATTGTTAACAGATACAACAAATACTTTATAGTAAAGGAATTTTTTCAACACTTTTATTTTCTTCATCTTTGCATCCAACTTTTTGTAGACCATATTTTAAAATATAAATTCTGTTAAATCAAATAATCTAAGTTTGATATATAAAAAGTTAACATAATCAGGTAGCTAAGATATAAGGATTAGAAAATTTGAGTTTGTGGCAAAGAATCAATTCTTATATTATATAAAATGTACAGAAAAAATCCAATAGATAATTATTACTTTTTTGCACAATATTTAACAAAATATATATAAAGAACCCTTTCTTTGAATTATTCCTCGAAATATATGTTCAAGGGTTTATATATATATGTATATATATATATATATATACGAGAGGGGAAGGGATGACAACAGCGGGAGTAATATCAAATATATTAAATTCAAGGTATTCTGATCTACAAGCATATTTTTATCTTTATAAACATTTTCTGAAAGGAAATGCATCTACAATTATACATTATTATCATGTCTATTTTACATTAAGTTCAGTTTAACGGACTTAATCTTTTAAATCGTTAAGTTCCAGATTACTTTCAAATTGGATTTGTAACATTTAATCATATAAGATTTTAAAATTTTAATTAATATTTGTTATGCATTCATTTTTTTCCGAAGCGAAAAAGTTTTTCTCTTTGATTTAAAAAAGTATGAAAAATTAATTAAAAACTAAGTCTCCACAAAAAGTGTTATTAACTAGAAGGTTTGTGCTAAAACCTGTATTGAAGATTTTGATCGTAGCATCGTAGCATCGTAGCATACTCAACATCGTAAGCTAAATATATAAACAAGAAAAAAATATTATTATCCTTTTATTAGTGTTCATTTGAAGAAAAAATATATTACAAACTGGTTTAAAACTATTAGGACATTCATGAGGCTTCGGGCCCTCTTTTCAAGAAACAATTTTATCTTTAAACTGATGCATTACAATTCGCCATTTTCTTATCAGTCATGTGAGTCGCAATCAAAAATGTGGGCCCGATCGGTTCAGCCGTTTTGACGTTTATTGGACACAAACAAATAGACCAGATTTAAATTGTATGCTGTGTTGGTATAGTTAAACTATAGTTTGCATAATAAATATAAATTGTATGCTGTGTTAGTATAGTTAAATTATAGTGTACATAATAAATATGATATTGTATGCTGTGTTAGTATAGTTAAACTATAGTGTACATAATAAATATGATATTGTTTACTGAGTTGGTATAGTTAAACTATAGTGTACATAATAAATATGATATTGTATGCTGTGTTAGTATAGTTAAACTATAGTATTCATAATAAATATGATATTGTATGCTGAGTTGGTATAGTTAAACTATAGTGTACATAATAAATATGATATTGTATGCTGTGTTGGTATAGTTAAACTATAGTGTACATGATAAATATGATATTGTATGCTGTGATAGTATAGTTAAACTATAGTTTACATAATAAATATGATATTGTATGCTGTGTTAGTATAGTTAAACTATAGTGTACATAATAAATATGATATTGTATGCTGTGTTAGTATAGTTAAACTATAGTGTACATAATAAATATGATNCCCCCCCCCCCGCCCATTTTCCCCCTCTCCCAAATACCATTTCAGACTTCCCTTCTGACTAATATATTTGTATCCAAAGAAATGAAGTATTTGCTTTCTGTATTTATCAAAGCTTGATTTACTTTCCATAATTTATTGTTAATATAAGCAACCACACGGCACACACACATAAAGTTGTTTAGATTAAATGAGGTACATGTCACCTGTCTCAAATAAAATCTATAATAATTGCCCAAGGGGTGGAATGTAAATAAGATACATATTTGATTATAGTTAAAGTTAGTTAGCTTGATTGAATCTCAGCTAAGGGTTGGCTACCAAAATATAAAATCTTATTTAATTTAAAAAAGAAAACATTATAAAACTTATAAAAATATGATATTTTAGATGGAAAATGTGATTAGAAAAAGTGATATTGATGATTGTTGTTGTATGATGATACCACATGTGAATAATTCTCTGAAAAGATAATGTGAATCTGAAACCTGTAAACCAACCCACAATCTCATCGTCTTTCAATCTGTTCTCCTCAATAATGAGCTTTTTAATATTAATCCAATCCGGAGCAGCAGCATTCGCATTCAAACCATCCTTAATACTTAATACATTCTATAGGATATGAGGGGAGTATGAAGGGTATAGCAGGATACAACGCGTCCCCAGCATCATTCATTTTATTTCTTCTAACTATCGTCTCAGCACAACGTAAGTATACAAACAAAATTATCAGGGACGTTTCTTTTATTGCAAGGCGTTTCCTGGATTGGGTTGTTAGAGGGTGGCAGAGAGGAAAGTAGTATTAAAGTGACGATTAGAGAACCTAAGTGGAGTATTTATTAAACGAAAGAAGAGATATATACAAAAGATGAAAAACACCAAAAGTAAAGACTACAGTTCACAGATATCATGCTAGGAAAGAGAAGGGATAAACTATGAAGCAATTATTAAAGAAAAATGAAAAAAGGAGAAAACGGGGCTGAACTAAACCATTGGAAAATAAAAAGAACATATACATAGAAGACAGAAGGGTGAGAAATTCAAATAAAAACATCTAAAAAGATAAAAAAGGAGATTAAGATTAAGATTTAAGGGTGAGGGGATAAAATGTTTTATAAAAATATTTAAGAATGATAGTCAACAATGCATATAAACAAGACACATACAATTTACACTGTAGGAAAACTTTTACAGGAAAATATAAGACTGATAATGGTAGAACTGAGAGCTTTTTCAATTTTAGCAATTTTACTGAAAGATTCGACTTTTAGATGTTTGAACATATTACGATAAAAGATAAAATTAATGAAAAATGTATCTGGCAGAAAAGATAGAAACAAATATAAGAACCAAAAGAATCTAAAAGTCAATAGAGATTTGGTTTAAGGATGGACGTGTAAGAAAGGGAAAGGTTAAATATCAAGTTTATGGAAGGTTTTGCGTATTTTTGCTGCTCCGCGCCACCCAAATTCTTTCAGAATCCCTACGAACCTCCGACCCAGACTCATTTTACAAGATGGAGAATCAAGGGTTGGATCGCCCTGTAAATACTCCGGACAAGATCAAAGAATCTCATAAAAATTCTTTCCTCATTGGCAGTTTGACAATTAATAATCAAAGGCATCAAAAAAGATCGAGTTCGTCTCGAACATCCCATGATCTGTTCTCCTCGTACTCGAACTCAAACTTCGAGTTCTTTTCTACCTGGAACCTGACAGAACTAGAGGATATTTCAACAGCGACGGAGATGTCGGATGATCAGATGAGATCTCTGGGATTTCCCGTTCCCTCCACTGAACGACCTAGTCTGGAGCGGGAAACCCAGAGACATCCCGTCCTAGATAATCCTTTCATACATTTTCTATCTCGTAAGTAAATGGACAAAAATTCTTAGTTATTTCATTTTCTATGCTTATTCCATCACGTTTTTGTTTTTATTCTATTCTTGTTAAACCTGGAGAGAAGTATGGGATTACTGAACCATTGATTTTTCAAAGAAATATTGGTTCAGGAGGAAGATTGACTTCCCCATTCTTTTCTCCGCTCCGGGTTTCAATGTAAAAACATTCTCACAAACTTTTCTCCGAGTTAACCTTTTATCTGGAAAGAATAATCACATAAGTTTTCCGATTTACCGATTTTCCCGCGAATTAAAGAAATCTATTATCAGGTCTAAACAAACATTCTGAGCTGGGTAGGATATTAAAAACTAAATCTATTTTAGATCCGCCGGAAATAACGAAACCGCCGCAGAGTCACAGTGTAAAGTCCGGCGGTATCGCCGTCCTATTCTGTCATGCTACCGGAGATCCTGCTCCCAACTTCAACTGGAAGAAGAACGGAAAGAAACTGCGGAATACGGACTCCAGGTAGGGAAGGAAACTGAGTACTTTCCTCAAATCTAATTTTCAAATCTTTTTATATTTTCATTCTAAAAGCACAGACCTTTGATATTTCAAACTATGGCTGCCGCTAGATCAAATAAGCAACGTTTGTAATATCGAAGGTTTTCACCATAAGGTTACAATGATATAAAGATTATAGCAATAGAGTTTGAGGCAAGTGATCATGTCCTTTTAACAAGACAATTTCACAAATTTTTTAAAAACTTTTTGTATTCCTATATGTATACCTGTCTCAAAATAAGAAAAGAAATCCAATGATGACGTCATAACTTGTATGAATTATCATGAATGACCATGTTAAGGAAAGTAAGTATAATATAAATAATTACAGCGAAGGACACAAAACCTTGCGAAATGAATATTTTTTCATATACGTGAACAATATAAAAATAGATTTATTAGGTTTCAATAAGTCAAATGTGACTAAAATAGTTTTGATGATATTAATGATAATAAGAGACATTGTGAACTTTTCCAAAAGCATTTTCATTCATGATTGAACCATTGTCATCCTTATGTACGTTTAAATATATATATATATATGTATTATAATTGAAGTAGATATTTGTAAGGCAACATGTATTCATGATGGAATACAATATACATAATATTTACACAATATTTCCTTAAACAGACAATATCTTCTAGAAAAAAGGTATTTCCATCAACGGTTTTAAATCAATGCATTTTCTTCAAGAAAATGTTAAATTCTAAGAATGCCAAACAATTGGGAGAGTAAACAGAATTTTCTCCAGATTTTATAAGAATAAATATACAATATTTATCAAATACCGGTAGAATAGAAAAACTCGCCAGCTTTGGGAAAATGGAAATTTTTTTAAAAATCAGTTTAAACCAATTCTTCTTGATTTATTCATAAACTAGGCTATCTTCTATTTAAATTGTGAACATGTTCTTTTTGTTTACATGTTAAAACAAAGAAGAAGAAAATTTTGCGGATTTTTAAAAAAAAATTCGCGGATTTTCAAGAATTTAAATTTTTTTTTTAAATTAAAAACCTTTAAAACACATTTTTTATATTTTTATCATTCATAAACCTTCCCTGTGGTTACGTGATGTCCCACAAAAAATTTGGGTTCGGATCGGTTCAGCCGTTTTGACGTTTATTGGATACAAACAAACAAACAAACAGACAGACAAGCCAAATTTATATATAGATTGCAGGCCAAAGTATTGATAAATGGATGAATAGATAGTTTGAAATTCTATAGTGTTGTTTAATTTATTAGTTTGCAGTACACAATACCCATTCTGTCACAATAAACTAAGCTAGTGGGGCAGGTCAAATAAGCTGATGTTAGGCCGGGCTCTGTAAAAAGTTTGGCCGCACCATTAAAGTTGAAACCGAGCCGGTATAGTAAAGGGTCGGGCCGGTATAGTTAAGGGTCGGGCCGGTACAGTAAAGGCGTCACTAAGGATGGCAAAGGGGGTCGGTCTGGTTCGAATTCAAATTGACCCTAGTCCGCCGTGCTGTATTTCTCTTAATAGTCATTCGTTTCTTTTATTAAACTATTATCCCTTATCCCTTATCCTAAGGAAGTGAGTCTTTGGACAAACTATGTTTTTAAACTCACCTACATTATAGCAACCCAATGTCGTAGACCTTAGATATTTTAGAATATGAGTTCGGTTAGATCTCAAAATCTTATTTGAAATTACACCATCAGGTTGTACAAATTTGGGGATTAAAAATTTGTATTTGTGGCAAAGAGTTAAATCCCTTCGTGTTCTCCTTACCGTATTTAAGGATTCCTTTAAATATCTTCCTTTTCCAATCCATTTCTCCGTCCTTATTTTTTGCCTCCGTTTTTCGTGAATTTTCTGTTTTGTTTTCCTAGCCAAGCAAACCTTACTAGTCGGTTCTTAATTCATAACCATAGGTTCTTATCTGTACTTCTTTCATAACCAAACTATCCTCCTATTCTGGCCTTCTTTCATATCCAAACTAACCTTCCTATTCTTTCTTTCTCTCATAACCAAACTAAGCTTCCTAGTTTGTCTTTGATTTCATAAAAAAACTAACCTTCCTATTCCATCCTTCTTTTCTTACTTAACTAACCTTTCTAATTCAATCTTCTTTTCTCACTTAACTAACCTTACTAATCTATTCTTCTTTTCTCACTTAGCTAACCTTACTATTTTTTTCTTCTATCCTTACTAAACTAACCTTTCTAATCTATACTTCTTTCCTAACCAAACTAACTTTCCTAATTTGGCTTTCTTGCCTGGCCCAACTATCCTATTTAATCTGGCATTGTATTTAGGTATCTGATCTCTGATTTTGATGGTGGATCTCTGCTTCGTATAGAACCAGTGCGTAAGAAGCGTGAGTCTGGAGCTTATGAATGCGTAGCTGAGAACGGAGTTGGAGACGAAGTATCAGTCTCTGCTGAGCTAGAGGTTTATGATGGTAAGATCAGCTTATTATTATCTCCAACCTTAGCCTAGATCGGAACTTTTAGTAAAGCACCCTGGAAAACTAGGACTAGATGTGTTCGGTTTCTTCTATTTGAATTCAATTTCGTTTTGGTCTTAATTCAACAATCTTTAAACTTACAGAGTTGTTTTTTTTACTTTTTCATTTGAAATGCATCCACCGACAAAAAGAGAAAAGGCAAAAAGTTATATTTAATTGGTCAAATTCTGATCGAAAGTCATCACATGAGTAAATAAACTTGAGTAGATCAGGACCGAACTGTTAAATCCGCGTGGAGTGTCGTGAATCTTTAGCACTTAATCTCGATTTCCAATGTGGACACTTATAAATTTGAGGATCGATGCTTGATCCCTTTATTTAAGTTATCCCCGCTTGGAACAATCACCAATGGATATCAAAGAGGAATTAAACTAATCCGTAGACCTGAATAACAATAAAAAGGAATTTAGTCTTTGACACAAACTCTGATTTTCTAATTCCTATATCTCTGCAACCCAATGTCGTAGACCTATAGATATTTCAAACCATGAATTCTGTTGCATCAAATTATCTTGCTTTGAAATATCAAAAGTCTACAACATCAAGTTCCATAAATATAGGGATTAGAAAATTTGAGTTTGTGACAAAGACTCAATTCCTTTGTTACTTTTTGTCATATATTATCTTATTATTATCTTTTTTGCTTTTCTTATTTCACTCTCTTTATTTTTGTCATTTTTTCTATAGACCACTTCAATTTGGTATTATGATATTTTTTTTCTTTAGAAAAAGAGCTCCCAGTTGGTTTCCCTCAGATAATACAGAACCCTGGGATGAAGGTTGTGGAGAAGGGACGGAACGCTGTTCTGGTCTGCGAGGCTACTGGAGAACCTGCTCCAGTCATTTCATGGGTTCGGGATACGGTTCCAATCAATCTGGAGGTTTGTAATCAGATCTTATTATCTTCAGAAAATTTGAATTCTTATATCTTAAAACTCTATTTTTTTCTAGGGAAACCCTCGGTTGAGTATAATGCAGCAAGGTAAACTGCGAGGTAAGGGAGGAACAACATGCATTCATCATATTATTCTCACCAGACACTACAAGGACCAAACCTTTGTATAAGAGTATTAACTTCTTGGCTTCCAACTCGTTTGGCGACCATCATCTATTTTAATTTTTAAAGGTTGCTCGTTTATCGATTTTTTTTTAGTGGAATTTGAAAGATCGAATTTTTAAAGGCCTTTTTTGATTTCTGACGATCCAGAAAGTCCCACTAAAAATTTTGGGCCCGATCGGTTCATACGTTTTGACGTTTATCGGTTACAAACAAACAAACAAACAAATAGACAAACAGACAAGCAAAGTATATATTAACTATAGGGGTAACTAAGGGGGGGGGGGGGCTCGTTTCCCTCCCTCCCACCCCATCCCCTCATAGATTCTTGCTTTCCTTGTCGAACTAAAGAATTAAATTTCAGCACATTTTAAACTAAAAATCACTTGAATTCTGGTAATGGTAATGTAAGTGAGACTCCAATTTTGGAGTGGTATGTGCAACTTAAAACGGTGTCCTTTAAACCTCTGTCTGATCAAACTCAACTTTCAGCTAGAAATAATGGATATCTCCGTGATCCTTGATCAGACAAATATTTAAAGTTTACCGTTGTGAATCTGACATGACACTCTACTATGGAAGGTAACTTGAAATTTAAAGAATACTGCTATAGTACAGAGAAGAGTTGTTAATACAAGACTGAACTGAGAAAGTATTGAATGGGATAAGAGTATTTTATTGCACTATAAAAGTGTAGATACTTGGATCTATTAATCATCAAAATATTATTATTATTTTCATAAATCTGTATTTAGTCCAACAGTTGTAGGATATATTATGCCTACTCGCATATTTTTTTTCAATCAGAAAGGATGAATTATCTGTACATATATATATATACTTTGCTTGGGTGTCTGTTTGTTTGTATCTATCCAATAAACGTCAAAACGGCTGAACCAATCCGGCTCAAACTTTGTGTTAGACCTCACATGACCCCAGGGAAAGGTTTATGGATGATCAAAATAAAAAAATAGCTTATAACAAAATTCGACTTTCATTAAATTTTGAAAATCTACGATTTTTTTCTATAATCCGCGAACTTCTTTTTGTTTTATTTAACAATGTATTCAAAAAGAAAATGTTCACAATTAAAATAGAAGATGGGCGCTAAGCGCCCTGAAAGCCTAGTATTAGCTATGAATTACAAGTTTGATAGCGACATTTCTAATATGAATGAATATAATAAACGAATACAAAAAATCCCATTTTAATTTGTTACCACCGTGGCTTTAGGAAACTATTAGACTTAATTGAGGATTTAATGGGGTTTGATTTCTAAATTCTTAAAAAGTTTGAATAGAAAACAAAGGTTTGGTCCGCAGCATAGTGTCTTACATTGTAAATAATTAGTTGAAGTAGATTTAGATGCATCTAGATTAGTTGCATTCAAACTGAGTGTTCTAACTTATATTATAGCAAAGTTATCCGTAATCCAGAAACATAGAGAGGAAGATTTAGATACCTCTCAGGGTTAGAGATATTCTTAGAAATCCTTCTCTTAGAATTAATATCTTGTCCTATTCTTGTCTCATGTTTGATATCTTAAGATATTCTTGTCTGAGGGTTGATATCTTAAGATATTCTAGTCTGAGGGTTGATATCTTGAGATATTCTTGTCTGAGGGTTGATATATTGAGATATTCTTGTCTCAGGGTTGATATCTTAAGATAATCTTGTCTGAGGGTTGATATCTTGAGAAATTCTCGTCTGAGGGTTGATATCTTGAGATACTCATGCCTGAGGGTTAATATCTTGAGATATTCTTGTCTGAGGGTTGATATCTTGAAATATTCTTGTCTGAGGGTTNTGAGATATTCTTTTCTGAGGGTTGATATTTTGAAATATTCTGTTCTGAGGGTTGATATCTTGAATAATTCTTGTCTCAGGGTTGATATATTTTGATATTATTGTCTGAGGGTTGATATCTTAAGATATTCTTGTCTGAGGGTTAATATCTTGAGATACGCTTGTTATTTGAAGGTTTATATCTTGGGATATTCTTGTCTGAGGGTTGATATCTTGAGATATTCTTGTCTGAGGGTTGATATCTTGGGATATTCTTGTCTGAGGGTTAATATCTTGAGATACACTTGTTATTTGAAGGTTGATATCTTGGGATATTCTTGTCTGAGGGTTGATATCTTGAGATATTCTTGTCTGAGGGTTGATATCTTAAAATATTCTTGAATTAAGGGTTGATATCTTGAGATATTCTTGTCGTATTTTTCAACCAAAAGCAAATTATGAAAAGTTTTTTATCAGTCATGAATTTACAATTTTCATTGATTTGCCACTATAATATAAGTTTGAACACTTTTAAACAAAGGTCTTGTTTTATCTTTGACAATGTATAGTTCCATCCCAAACCTTATTTTATTTATATATAGTTTAAAATAACAGAGATTGCTAGCTTGTATTTGTAACATTTCTAAACTTTATTTGATGTTTCATCTTTCTTGAAACTTTACAAATGAATACATATACAGCAAGCAGGGTCTCAGATAATTATTAATGCACTGGCATAATTAACTTATCCAAGCCATATGCTACCTTTACCTTGTCTATATATATATATATATTTATATAAGTAATAACATTTTTATATTTAATAAACTGAAAGATAAGTTAATTATAACATTTACACAATGCACCGTTATATTATGCACTGGATTCAGATTTGAGTTCAAGTTCGACCAGGTTCAGGGATTATGATTTTTCGTTTAGGTTTGAATAAAATTCTGCCCTTCAGTTTAGAATTAGGTTTTGGTTAGGCAGTTAGGTTTTGATTTGGGTTCAGCTTGACACCAGGTTTAGGTTTCGGCAAAGGTTTTGAATTATTGGTTCAGGTGAGGGTCATGTATAGATTTTGATTTAGTTTTAGTTTATAGTTAGGTTCAGGTTCAGGTCTAGGCTTTGGTTTAGGTTTCCGGTTTGGTTTAGGTTCTGGTTCAGGTCTAGGCTTTGGTTTTGGTTTAGGTTCAGGTTTGGTTAAGGTTCAGGTTTGGTTAAGGTTCAGGTTTGGTTAAGGTTCAGGTTTGGTTAAAGGTTCAGGTTTGGTGAAAGGTTCAGGTTTGGTTACAAAGTGTTCTGTGCTAGTTTTTGTTTAGAAAAGGTTCGTTTAGAAGAGGTATAAAGAAACTTGTTAATTCTTGGATTAGAAGGTATCTAGACAAGGCTTATATTTTAGCTTAATTTTATAGAAAATTAAAAAACTTTTCTGAGACAACAATGCAAACTCTTTATAAGACAACATGGAACAATTCTCATCTCTTAACTCAGATTTGTTGTAACTCTACTTTTCCCCGTCCTGTTCTTAGTTTCTGCCACTTCCTTTTCTCCTGTTCTTAGTTTCTTCTACTTTCCTTTTCTCCTGTTCTTAGTTTCTTCCATTTCGTTTTCTCCTGTTCTTAGTTTCTTCTACTTTCCTTTTCTCCTCTTCTTAGTTTCTTCCACTTTCCTTTTCTCCTGTTCTTAGTTTCTTCCACTTTCCTTTTCTCCTGTTCTTAGTTATTTCCACTTTCTTGTTCTTACTCTCCTGTCCTTAATTTCTTCTAGTTTCTTTCCTTTTCTCCTGTTCTTAGTTTCTTCCACCTTCCTTTTTCTCCTGTTCTTAGTTTCTTCCACTTTCCTTTTCTCCTGTTCTTAGTTTCTTCCACTTTCCTTTTCTCCTGTTCTTAGTTTCTTCCACTTTCCTTTTCTCCTGTTCTTAGTTTCTTCCACTTTCCTTTTCTCCTGTTCTTAGTTTCTTCCACTTTCCTTTTCTCCTGTTCTTAGTTTCTTCCACTTTCCTTTTCTCCTGTTCTTAGTTTCTTCCACTTTCCTTTTCTCCTGTTCTTAGTTTCTTCCACTTTCCTTTTCTCCTGTTCTTAGTTTCTTCCACTTTCCTTTTCTCCTGTTCTTAGTTTCTTCCACTTTCCTTTTCTCCTGTTCTTAGTTTCTTCCACTTTCCTTTTCTCCTGTTCTTAGTTTCTTCCACTTTCCTTTTCTCCTGTTCTTAGTTTCTTCCACTTTCCTTTTCTCCTGTTCTTAGTTTCTTCTACTTTCTTTTCTGCTCTCCCGTTCTTACTCTCCTGTTCTTAGTTTCTTCCATTTCCTGTCCTCTTGTCATGTTTTTTTTTGTCATCCACATATCCAGATATTCATCTTATGCTTTCTTGTTAACCAGATATTTATCTTATTCTTTCTTGTTAACCAGATATTCATCTTATTCTTTCTTGTTAACCAGATATTCATCTTATTCTTTCTTGTTAACCAGATATTCATCTTATTGTTTCGTGTTAACCAGATATTCATCTTATTGCTTCTTGTTAACCAGATGTTCATCTTATTCTTCCTCAGTCCTATTTGACCATGCTTTGGTCAAATTTATAAATCCGAAAACAATATTCTGTTGGTTTAACTATGAGACATGTATCGATATGAAGTAGTTTCGTGACCTGGCATACATACACTACTCGACAGTTTCTAAATCCTACAATTTGATGGCTGGCTCCAGTCCGTTTATAAGAATTACATATTGATTTTTCAATTGGAAAACTATATATTTCGTTACTGTGACTTTATATAGTAGTTTAATAAAGTCAAGAGCCAAAACTGAATTTAGTAATAACACGATATGCACACAAAACTATATTTATACGTTAGACATAATAATGATACTAAATAATTAAATGTGATCAGAGTAGAGATGGAACACTTCAAAGGTTTCTTTGCCTAGGTCGGCGGACGTATCTTCCATTACCCGTCTTAAAAACCCCTTCGTTAGTAACTAACACCGTCCAGCTTCCCTGGTCTGCCTACCCGTTTTCTAGAGCTCTAATGGTATTTCCAACTTGTCTTTATATTCAAACTTCTAGCGCACAACTAAACTCTGGCTTGGGTTTATTTTTAACTTTCTATCAGACAACTAAACTCTGGCTTGGGTTTATATTTAACTTTCTATCAGACAACTAAACTCCGGGTTGGGTTTATTTTTAACTTTCTATCAGACAACTAAACTCTGGCTTGGGTTTATATTTATCTTTCCATCAGACAACTAAACTCTGGCTTGGGTTTGTATTTAACTTTCTATCAGACAACTAAACTCCGGCTTGGGTTTATTTTTAACTTTCAATCAGACAACTAAACTCCGGCTTGGGTTTATATTTAACTTTCTATCAGACAACTAAACTCCCGCTTGGGTTTATTTTTAACTTTCTATCAGACAACTAAACTCCAGCTTGGGTTTATATTTAACTTTCTAACAGACAACTAAACTCCAACTTGGGGTTTGAGTCCTTGTATTATAAACTAAATACTAAATATGTACAAATAAAACCGTGCTGGTTTTCAAATATTGATGATAGCAAGGGATAAGTTGACGTTTTATGCATTTTTTTCATACCTAGAGATATCCTAATATAATTCATTTATACATCGATCTTAAATTCAGAAGCATTTATAAAAAAATAAATTCTTTATTTAAAGGGAGTGACCGGAAATGTATGGTAGTTGATCTGAGAATGCAGTTTTGTAAAGATTTTTTTAGGATTCATTTGAGACCTATAAGATGTGTTTACGGTGCATATTTGTTCAGCAAGAGTGCAAATTCAATTTGTAAAATCCTTCTTTATTGTCCATTCTGGAATCTGGAGAGATGATTTTGAGAATCGTTTTTTTTTTAATTATTTAATAACAACGACGAAAAATGTAACAAAAATTCTAAAGTAAACTAATTGGATGTTTAGGAACATATTTCTTAACAGAAACTTGTCAATAAATCATTGTTAGAATCAATTATTTCTTTTTCATCATTATATTTAATTTTTTATTCTTTACACATTTGTTCACAGTTTTCTTAAAATTCTTTAGATGTCGTCTTTTCAATAAAAATTCCGGGAAATCTACAGAAAATGTTTGTGAACAATGAGACATTGCAGAAACTAATAACTGAAATTTGAAAAGATTAGTGATTTTAGATAATAATAGTTAATGTTTATTTTGTTCAATCTGTTCCTAAACAACTTATTAGTTTACTGTCGAATTCTTGTAACAATCATCGTGGTCGTCATGGAATAATCTTTAAAAACTGATTCTCAAAATCATCCCTCCAAAATGGACAATCTTTGATTGATTTTAAAGATCAAATTTTCACTCTTGTTGAACAAATACGCACCATAAAGAATTACTCTGCAATACTACATTCACAGTTCAACGACCATACATTGCCGGTCACTCCCTTTAAACACAAATAGGCTTTATAGATTTTAATGTCTCAAATATCTTTTGAGTTGGTTAGAAGGTTGTTGATTTTTTTTGTTCATGAGTCTCTAAAAGGGATTAGAAGAGTTTTTAAAAAGTTAGTAAGGTTTCAAGGTTCTGGTTAAAGAAAACTAGAAAGGTTTCAAGGTTCAGGTTAAAGAAAACTAGAAAGGTTTCAAGGTTCAGGTTAACTAGAGTTGGAAAAATTTCAATTTTCTGGGTTTTAAAAGAAAACTAGAAAGGTTTCTAGGTTCAGGTTAAAGAAAACTAGAAAGGTTTCTAGGTTCAGGTTAAAGAAAACTAGAAAGGTTTCAAGGTTCAGGTTAAAATTAAGATAGGTTGTTTGATCCAATTCTGAACTTAAATTCCTGTAATGCACAGTTAGTGAGCTAGTTATCCACAGTATAGTTTATTTATAAATTAATATTTTTTAAAAATTATCTGTCATTTTCATAATTCAGGATCATTAAGAATAGAAGCAGCAGAGGAAACGGACCAGGTAAACTGATTAGATGAGACAACACCTTACCTATCCTGTCCTGTCCTAATCTAACTTGTCCAGTCCTAACTAACCAGTCCTGACCTAACCTAACTTGTCTAAACAAAACCTTACTTGTTTTTATCTAACCTAACCTGTCCAACCCTAACTGAACTTGTCCCATTCAAACCTAACCTGTCCAACCCTAACCCAACTTGTTTCATTCAAACCTAACCTGTCCAACCCTAACCTAACTTGTCCCATTCAAACCTAACCTGTCTGTATAACTTGTCCTGTAACTTTAATGAACCTTCTTACCTGTCACATTCTATTGATATTTAACCTAATATATTCAGACCTACCCTATCAATGTCATGGGCTTAACTCAAGTTCAGAATTTCTGACCTCAGTCTAAAACTAAAGAACGAAAAAAATTACGACTTAAAAAGTTTCAGCTTTAATGCCACTTCTGACTTAATTTAAACCTGAATTTTAAGCTACAGCTTGATGAATATTTAATTTGTCGATTTCGGCGAGTTAAATTTTAAACCCCAAGTTACCCGCGTTCAATTTTGCGATATTTCAATGCATAAAAAATCTGACGATTTAAGTTTAAAAAGATTTTCCTGTAATCTGGATTAATTAAATACATCGTGTACCTAATACGAAATATATTTTGTTATAATTCGCGATGCAGTTTTGTGAAGAAATTGAAGTTACGACTACGAGACAGCTGATGTTGAATTATCTCTGTCAATGTAATCTCCGTTATTCCCGTAATCTGAGGTCGAATTTAGAGAATCCGCTGGTTCCACTTAAAATCGTAATCAATGTTTCAAGATTTAAGCCGGCGCTAAATTGAAACCGGTTTTGGGGGATTAAAACGCGGCTCAAATCCATTAAATTCGGACTCTGATTGGTTCATATTTTCCTTTTGATCCTTTTTAAAGAAATCCCAACCCTTCTGTCTATTACTAGAATAACATCATTTTCATCTCAATATATTTCGGCAAAAACTTTGGTATCTTCATGAGTTTGTCCTATAATATTACAGATATAAGCAAAAAATTAATTTTTTTAGACAATGAATATTTAAAATAAATAAGACAAAGAAAAGAACAAGAAAATTTATAACCTTTACAATAAGGAATTTTTCAAATAAATAATGTCAAAACACATAAAACTTTAAAAAGACAAGAAAAAAAATATCCCTTCAGGGTTGAATTAAGAAAGTTTCATATCTATGTATGTAATTTTTCATATTTTTTAATCTATAACTTAAATTTCGCACATTCTTTAGTTTTAGATATGATCTAAACTCTGATTCTACAAATTACTTTTAAATTTGTGCAGACACAGGTTAAGGTTGGCACCCTAGTTTATAATAACTCCTACTCCAGGGAAAGTATGAGTGTGTAGCAAGTAACTCTGTGGGTACTGAGTATTCCTACTCAGCTCAATTATATGTTAGAGGTAAGTTTAAGTTCTTGATTGCAAAGGTTAAGGTCTCTAAACCAGGATTAACTATTTTCAGTTCGAGAACTTTACTCTAGCTCTGGTCAAACCTNCTTCCGCAAATAGTATAGTATCTTCTACCAGAAACAGTATGGTATGGTATCCTCTTCCGCAAATAGTATAGTATCTTCTACCAGAAACAGTATGGTATGGTATCCTCTTCCGCAAATAGTATAGTATCTTCTACCAGAAACAGTATGGTATGGTATCCTCTTCCGCAAATAGTATAGTATCTTCTACCAGAAACAGTATGGTATGGTATCCTCTTCCGCAAATAGTATAGTATCTTCTACCAGAAACAGTATGGTATGGTATCCTCTTCCGCAAATAGTATAGTATCTTCTACCAGAAACAGTATGGTATGGTATCCTCTTCCGCAAATAGTATAGTATCTTCTACCAGAAACAGTATGGTATGGTATCCTCTTCCGCAAATAGTATAGTATCTTCTACCAGAAACAGTATGGTATGGTATCCTCTTCCGCAAATAGTATAGTATCTTCTACCAGAAACAGTATGGTATGGTATCCTCTTCCGCAAATAGTATAGTATCTTCTACCAGAAACAGTATGGTATGGTATCCTCTTCCGCAAATAGTATAGTATCTTCTACCAGAAACAGTATGGTATGGTATCCTCTTCCGCAAATAGTATAGTATCTTCTACCAGAAACAGTATGGTATGGTATCCTCTTCCGCAAATAGTATAGTATCTTCTACCAGAAACAGTATGGTATGGTATCCTCTTCCGCAAATAGTATAGTATGTTCTACCGGAAACAGTCATGGTATAGTATCTTCTACCGGAAGCAGTCATGGTATTGTATCCTCTTCCGCAAATAGTAGTATGTTCTACCGGAAACATTATTGTATCTTCATCCGGAAACAGTATGGTATCTTTTACCAGAAACAGTATGGTATCTTTTACCGGAAACTATATGGTATCTTCTCTAGAATAAAGTATGGTATCTTCTACCGGAAACAGTGCGTTATTATACAGCTAAACCTGGGCTAGGTTTGGTTTGGGTTAGTTGTAAATTCCTCGATATTGACTTTTATGCTCTATATTCAATGCTTCTAATCTTGGGCCAATGCAAAGGTTGCATTGACCTATCCTCTAACATATCTGGAGCTCGTGAAACCGTTCTTATCCTTAAATAAATCTACAATTTGATCCTTTTTATCGACAATCCAATTAACTTAACGAATTAGTAAAATTTCAGCAGAGTTTTCTGACATTTGAAATATCTAGAGGATGAATCCATTGGCATTTTCAGATCCTTTCTCTCCTATTCAGATGGAATGAAAGGGTGGGAGGAAGCGTTTATCTTTGTTAATTTTGGTATTTTTATAATTGAATTTACTCTATCTATGGTTTGTGGAAAGTTTAGTTTCACCACTTGATTCTATCCTAGTATCCTACAGGGTGTCCCAATAAACATGGGACTTTTATATCGTCCTTGTTCCATGAAGGATTATTTTGTAAACATTATTTTGTAGTATCACAGTTAAAACACCTTCAAAATAAACGGAGATTATAGAAAAGAGAATTTGTCCAGATTCCAGTTTATTAAAAAGCCACAAAACTATTCAAATGTTTAGTATCTCGGGCAATTTTAAAGATACAAAGAAGGTAGAAAACATTTTGGAAAGCTAATTAGACTTAAATTATCGGAGATCAAAGACGATATTGAAGTCGGCTCTCAATTCCCATGTTTATTGGGACACCCTGTAGTATCCTGGTATACTTGTAACTCTGTCAGATCCTGTCCAGTATATTTCACCGCAAACTAAAGTTGACCGTGGCACTTTCAATCCTTCTTTATCAGATCTTATCTTTATTTTTCTTTTATTTAATAATATCAGATTATTTTACATCTCTCTCTTCTTCCTGTTTCTCCGTGTCAACCCTAAAATTTTTAAAATCTCTTTAAATAGCTTTAAAAGGGGCTGAAAAATCTTAAAACCTTTAACTCCTGTAACTGTAAACCTATCAATAAAAGGTTTAAAGGGACTGTAAGCGTAATGTATCCTTACTAGCTTTTTTGATAATTATTAAAGAATTAGATAGTTTTTGTTTGGGGAAACTGTTTAATTTTATTTGCGGTTTCTCTGCAAAAGTGATTAAACTTAAACAATTTTACAGCCAGAGAAACAAAAACATTTTTCACATTTTTGATCAGATTGAGGTTTCAAGGGTACTGTGTTAAATCGGGCATTGCTATCTTTGCATGGCGGGTCATTTGAAATTATGCCTTCAGTCCCTTAAAAGCATCTCTAACTGGTCTAAACTCTAAACTATCTACTTTCAACCAGTTTTAATTATCTTTAACAAGTCAAACTCAAGCTCAACCAGTGTTTGTAATCATCTCCAGGCTTTCCAGAAACATAAAGAAGAGAAAACTTTTATCTTGTAAAGAAGAGAAGCACAGTCTGGAGAAATTAAATTAAAATTCTCTCAACCGAAGTGAATTGAAATTTTGAAATTCCGGTCAAGATTTTTTCTTCTGAGATGAAGATAGATTGTATATTTGACATGATTTCAGATTTCTTTCAGTCAAAAACTGGAAATACTAGGGAATCCTTTTACAGGGTTTCCAACTTATACATTTTCTGTCAGACACACAGCCGAGAGTGAATAGTTAGTTGAGATGGCTAAAAACGAAATGGATTTAATTTTTTCTTTTCTATTTTACAAAAATGTTTAATCCTTCTTTTTCAACCATCCATGCTAATAATGTTTGTTATTAAATATTTCCTGATGAGTCTGGTTCTATAGGATAGAATTGAACCCAAACCTTTAATATCCTGGTCCCCCCTAGAACTGAGTTTACAAAACACTAATTATAAAAGTGTTCTAACAATCAACACTCTGTTGGTTTAAAGAATTTTAATTTCCCTCCTTGTGCAAACTGCACAGTAATGAGCAAATATGCAAGGTTATTAAAACAACCTTAAAACATTAAGTTTTCATAGAGGAAAATATGGCATTTTGTAATGGATTGTTTAAGAGAAACAGATGGGTTGATTTGTATGTTTATGTTGGAGGGTGTAGGAGCTGGATCCATACTTTCAAGTATAAAGCTACATACTGTTGAATGAAGATTAAATATTTATAACGTTTTATTTGTTCCAACTTTTCAACAAACTTTATCGTTCGAAGTTAACATTTTTAATTTCAGCTCTGCCACGCGCTCCGACCCAGGTTCTAGTAACTGAGGTTCAATCCACCTCTGTCAGGCTCTCATGGTCATATGATGGAGATGCTAAGAGCGAAGTACAGTACTATGTCATACAGTACAAACCAAGGTAATGAAAAGTCAAGAGAGTACATAAAATATGGATATATTTACGCCTGCCCGGGTATCATTATATTTTTGAACCAGTGAAGTACAACATTTGAATGTATAGTTATGAGATCACATAAAAACTTTACATACATTTGGTACATCCATTCATTTTGCCCAAACTTTACATTTTCTCCTGTTTTTGGTCTTTAAATTTCCGTGTTTACAATATACTCATGCTCCTTGTCGATACTGCAGCAGATATTCTATAAAATAAAGTAAAGGAACTGAGTTTTTGCCACAAATTCTGATTTAAAAAGCTATATCTTTGCAACCTGATGGTGTAAACCTTTGATATTTCAAACTATCATAATTTGATCTAAAATGATTCATAGTTTGAAATATCTAAGGTCTCCAACATTAAAATGCAAAGATATAGGGATAAGAAAATCAGAGTTTGTGACAAAAACTCAATTCCTTTATGTAACGATAAATATAGTAAATCAAACAATAATAAATAAGGTATTAAAGAGGGAGTATGGTATTATTTTAATAAGAATAATAATATTATTTATAGGAATGAGAAACCATTTATTTAAGAATAATTCAATCATAGAGTAGCTCTTGGTTAAAAATATAAGTAGAAACGAAAAGTCCTAAAACCTATTTTTCCTCTCAAAATATGCAGTAGGTGGACACATCAAATAGAGGAATTTATATTTTTTTCTCAAACTCTAATTTTTAATTCCTATATGTTTGTATCTATATATGCTGTAGACTTTTTTTTATAGACTTTATAAATGATATTTTAAATGAAAAATTCTGTTAGATTAAATAGTCTCTAAGTTTGAAAAATCAAAGATTTAAACCATTAGATTGCAAAGATTTCGCGGTTACAAAATTTGAGTTTGTGTCAAAAACTCAATTCCTTTAGCTTAATTATAGAGCACTAATTATGGTTGACGCTCTAAAGTGTGATATCCAGCCAACATTTATCCTTGGAAGTTTATCAATATACTTCATGAATCCTTTAATTTTGAAAAATCCTCTAATTTTGAAAAAATCCTCTAATTTGAAAAATCCTCTAATTTGAAAAATCCTCTAATTGTGAAAAATCATCTAATTTATAATCAATATTGATTTCTACCTATATAGGTCTGCATAAGCACACTATTGTTTAACTGTTTGGAAGCAAAGTTTGGTTTTGAATAGACTGTATTATTGGGTAGTTAGCTGCCCTTTATTTACAGCACACCAGCTTATAAAGGTTATTCTTCTCTTATACAAAAAGTTTTACAACATTCAACCTTTTATTCATAACTCGAGGTAAAGCTAAGGTATGTATTACGGGAAAATAAAGATTGAATTTACAATGGAACTGAATATTTACCCAAAATCTATACCTTTGCAATCTAATGGTTTTAACGTTTGATACTTCAAACTTGGACAACTTTCTCTATAGCAGAATTCATAGCTTGACATATCAAAGGTTGACGACGTCTGTTTGGAAATATTAAGGAATAAGAAGATTACAGTTTGGGACAAGTTGTCAGTTTTTTTTTTTTGATAAATATTACTTTTGTGGATTGCACAACACCGTCGTATGTTGTAGCTAATCATAAAATTATTTATTTATTGTTCACAGAGCTGCATCCTGGGACTACAAGGAGATCAGCGGAGCTATTACAAACTTCTATGATATCCGTGGTCTTAGGTAATAAAATTCAAGAGGTTATAGGATAACATTATTTAAAACTTTCAGATTTCTTTTTGAAATTTCCAATCGAGTTCCTATTCTTAAAAGTTGAAAATATCCTGTCTAGTCCGTACACAGAGTACGAGTTTGGAGTTCTAGCAATGAATAACGTTGGACGAGGACAGAAGAGTGTCCCTGTGTTTGCAACTACTGGAGAAACAAGTAAGATTATCCTTCTAGTCTTTATCTCACTCTAGTGCACAATTCTGGTTACGGAACTTCTATATTGCAGAGAGGAGAAGGATTAACAGAGTTCTCAGGAATATTTACTTTTTAATCTTAAACTGTTGCCACAATACGTTAAGGGACTGTTTTCTAATTTCAAGTGGCCTGTAAATTAAGAGGGGAAAGCATGATATGCACAACGTTTCCCTTTAAAAAGTATTAAATTTTGACAACTTCCTTCATGTTATTTCTGAATCAGAGTCACTTGAAGTGCGCTGATTTGGTTATATGGAACAAATTACAAACACAATTAAAGAAAACTCTGTAAATTTATCTACTCTCTTATTGCCTTTTATTTTCCTTTTAGCAACTAATTCTAACCACGGAAAGCGTGTGGGGGGGAGGGGAGGGATTGTTATTTATTACTTTTTTGAGCAAAGGACTGAAATATAATTACAACAAAAATGTGGAAAACGCTTCTAAATTCAATAAATGTTTTTAGTCTTCATTAAAGTAGCATGTTTTTACTCTCCCTTGAACCAATGCACTGCAAACGAACTAACCAGGACGAATATACTCCGTCCACTGTATTCAATAGATCGACTAATATTAACCTTTTACAGAACCAGGAGGATCGATCCCGGGAGATGATCGTAAGTTTAATCAATTAATCAAATTAACTCTTCCATTTGAACTAATTAGACTGAATAATTAACACTGAATATTAATCTCTGAACTAATTATTTCAAGAAGTTGAGATTTCACCATTTTAAAATAAACTTTTAACAGTTTTAGCCAGCATATTCATTCCCGCATATAACTTTATGAAGTTTATGTTCTGTATCTCTAGGTCCATGTTTATGGTTCTGTATCTCTAGGTCCAGGTTTCATTTTCTGTATCTCTAGGTCCAGGTTTAGTGTTCTGTATCTCTAGGTCCATATTTAATGTTCAGTATCTAAAGGTGAAGGTTTCACGTTCTGTATCTCTAGGTCCAGGTTTAATGTTCTGTATCTCTAGGTCCAGGTTTAATGTTCTGTATCTCTAGGTCCAGGTTTAATGTTCTGTATCTCTAGGTCCATGTTTAATGTTCAGTATCTCTAGGTCCAGGTTTAATGTTCTGTATCTCTAGGTCCAGGTTCTGCTCCAAGAAACGTCCAGGTTCGTCCTCTCTCCTCCTCCACCATGGTGATACAATGGGACGAACCCCAGGCTCAGAACGGACTAGTTACCGGATACAAGGTTAGAAATGCAGTCATAATCAGAAAGACCCGGAATTAATTTATAATTAATCAGACGACTTTATAATCTAATTTTACAAATATATTTAATGAAACGATAATAATAAAATAGCACTAGCCCTGCCAATTTCGAGATACGGTCTTGTACGTTTAAAATTACCAGAGATATATATGTAAAGTCATCTGATTAACTGTCAGTTAATTCTGGGCCTTTCAGGTTATGACTGTAGAGTAAATAGATTGTCAAGTACAATAGGTGGCAACAGATACACCACGTCACAAGTGTCAAAAATAACGAGAAAAACGAAATTTTCTCACATCAGTTAAGTTTTCCAAGATTAGATCAAAAAGTGTAAAAACAGAAAATAAAGAACACATTAATTAAATTGCACTTATTTTACTGTAAGACAAGCACTTTAGTCGAAAATTATCAGCTGTACTGAGAGTGCAAAATTCTACGTTGCCACCTATTTTACTAGAATCTATTTGATTTAGAGGATTATATTTTGATCTATATGCGGAAAGAATTTTTAATACATTTTATTTTTCAGGTTTACTATTCAACAAATCCTCAGCTTCCTTTATCACGTTGGGAATCTCAGTTTGTTGATAATAACAAGTTGACAACTATCAGTGATCTTACTCCGCATACAATATACACTATCAGAGTAGAGGCATACACCAGTATTGGACCAGGACCTTTATCTACTCCTGTACAGGTATACAGTACTGTACAGTGTACAGGTTTACAGTACTGTACAGTGTACAGGTATACAGTACTGTACAGTGTACAGGTATACAGTACTGTACAGTGTACAGGTTTGCAGTACTGTACAGTGTACAGGTATACAGTACTGTACAGTGTACAGGTATACAGTACTGTACAGTGTACAGGTATACAGTACTGTACACTGTACAGGTTTACAGTACTGTACAGTGTACAGTTTTACAGTACTGTACAGTGTACAGGTATACAGTACTGTACACTGTACAGGTTTACAGTACTGTACACTGTACAGGTATACAGTTCTGTACAGTGTACAGGTTTACAGTACGGTAAGGTGTACAATTTGAGAATAGTTTTAATAATCTTACTTGACCGAAAAAGCGGTAAAATATAAGAAAAAGCGGAAAAAAATCTTTTATTTTAAAGCAAGAGGCAGGCACATCACAGTCAACTAAGCTTTCCGTGTGTAGTGTGTACTGCAGTAATTTGCAGTACACTGACCGAAGATATATAGTAGCGTTTAGTGGAGAGTGATATACATATAACAATACAATGACCAGCTTAGATACATCACGGACAAATTAAACTTGCATTAATAGGGAATCTGTTCCTTAGAAGAAATATAGTTTTGATATTAAAGGGACTGTAAATGTAATTTCAAATGAACCTCCATGCAAAATTGTCAATGGTTGAATACCCGATTCACATCGATACCCTCAAAACATCTGATCAATAATGTGCAAAATATAATAGTTTTTCTAGTTTTAAAAGTGTTTAATTCTGATAATTTCTGAATTATATCCTGCAATATAATTGCGCATGTCGCTTTTGTAGAGGAACCGCAATTGAAAAACAATCAGTTTTAAAAATTATAAACATTTATATATAATTCATACTGGATCAGACAAAGCTTTTGAGAGTAGCGTTGTGAATCGGGCATTGTCATAATTTCTCGGAGGTTTACAGTCCCTTTGTGAAATAATATTGTTTAAAGAACTAAAAAGAAGTTACTTTAAATGTACTGAAATGTACTTGAAATGTACTGAAATGTAGGTGAAAACTCAGCAAGGAGTTCCCAGTCAACCGAGCCAACTGCAGGCTGTAGAGGTTGGAAGCACAACTATCCGGTTAACCTGGGAGAAACCTGATCATGCAGGAGAAAATATTCTTAGTTATGAACTCTACTGGAATGATACTTACACAGCAACGGTGAGCAAACTTCAACAAACTTATTTTGTTACTAGCTTGGGAAACCTGCTTTACCTGAAAACTAAACTATATCTTTGATAAGTTAAAATCTGCAACAAAGAACTATTAATAACCGAGCTAAGAACATTGGCGTGGTGCTACCAAAGTCCTTAATAAAAATATTAGGCAAATCGGTTGAAGGGTTCATGAGTTGTGATCGGACTACTTTATATTTTGTTCTGATGTTTTTAAATGTTGATCGCATCACATTTAATATTTAATTTAGAAGTTTCCGAAGCAAAAATCTCTAGAAGATCCGTCTATAACTGAGTATACGCTTGAGAACCTGTATCCGAATACTCTTTACCATGTGTGGATCGCCGCAAAATCAAGACGAGGCGAGGGAGCTTCTACTCCTAAACTATCTGTCAGGACGGACCAGTACGGTAGGAATCGGAAGGATAGAAAAAGGGGAATGGATAAGGGTAGAGGGGACAGGGGTGGCTTGATCAATGGTTCACCCCTGGAAAATTTCTCCATTTAAGCAATAGGGAGAGCTACGGAAAATGCAGAGAAAATTCTTAGTTGGGTCACCCTTAGTAATTTCCTGTATCCGCCCCTGCGGGGGGGAGGGGGGGAGGTAGTGGTTCTAAAGGGAGAATTTTATATGTAAAGAACCTCTAGTTGAAACCAAAATTGCTAAAATATTTAAATTGAATGGACTTCTATGGGATCTTAAATATATAAAAACTGTACAGAAAATGTTAAGAAAAAAATATTTTAATATTTTCTCTCTGGGCTCTTGGTCTGGCATTTAATGGAAAAATTCAAATTATCAACCTTTGAAAGCTGGAAGAATTTCATCGTTTTTTAAAGGAGTAAAATCAGAACTAGGACTAAAAATGAACTTAATTTCTAGTTTCATCTTTTCTATATTCTCACGAAGTTTTATTTATTAATTCAATATGATTCCTTGAATTCTCTTTTCAATTTACTTCACATGATTTGTTCCCTTTTTAATGTAAATTACTCTTTACCATTTACCAATTTACCAACTGTAATATTTTCCTTCTGACAAATTTATTTCTTGCTAACTAACAGTTTCATCCTTTTATCCGCATTATTCTTTATTCTTCAGAGTTAATCTAATATTTTATTAAGAGTTGTCATTTCAAGAAATCAAAATGTCCTTTTTTCTGTTCCAAGAGTATATTTCTCAAGTTTCCAGGTCTAATTTTGGTTTACTCCAGGTTATCTATGGACCTTGGACCATCTCAGTTGAAAAAAGCACAGTTTATTATTTAGTTCTGTTTACAGCACTGTAACATAAAAATATCTGGAAAACTTTAACTTTGACAAAAACATAAAAAATTTTCATTTTGTTAAAACCTTTCAGTTAACATTTTCCAGATTTAATGATTAATAATTTATAAAATGTTTGGTTTTTGACGCACTTCATTTTTGTAAATACCTAAATGTATTGACGCACTTCCCCATTTAGTTTTTTTTACCAATCCTCCCTGTTATTATGCATTAGTTCTAATCTGCACCTTAGTCTGCATAATTTATGTTAGGTTCAGAGCTCAGGGAACACAACTCAGCTCTGTCTAATTTCATGGGGTTATTGTAGGATCAGCTATATCATCAACCTATGACAGAATAGATGATTTTAATAGTGCTTAAAGGGACTGTAGACGGATTCAAGTGCCACAACGTTTATAGAGTGTATTGTCCGATTTATACCCTTTAAACCTTATTTGTATAGCAGAAAAATTAATGCTGGTGTGTAAAATGTAAACATATTTCTAACACTAGAATTCCGAAAACTTAAAATATTTTAAGTCACGCACCGTCCTTAACAGTTTTCTGTAATTCTCTGAAAGTAAAATCTAAATAGAAAAGGTCTTCTCTTCCATCCTTGATCAGACAAAGGTTTAAAGGGTACCTTTTATAATCTAACATGCCACTCAACAAATGTAGCTTTTCTATAAATTACGCCTACAGATCTCTTTAATGATATTATGAACCAAATGAACCTGATCCTACGATCATTAACGATGGGTTGAGGGAATGAAGTGTGATCATGACCAAGATCTGAGAATCAATTTCTTTATCATGAAAATCTAATCCTCGTTTTCTTAAAACTAACTTTATTCCTTAATCTAAGAAAGCAAGGTTTGGATCATGATCAAGGTTGAGCTCACCTAAGAGTGTTCTATCTCAGTACCCGGAGCTCCGCCCCAGTCCGTCTCAGCATTCGCCGAGTCGTCCACCTCCCTGAGGATTGTGTGGGAACCACCACCGGAGAATAAACAGAACGGAATGATTATCTATTACAAGATATTCTGCGTAAAGAAGTCCCGCTCCGATAGCGAGGCAACAGTGGTTGAAATCAAGAACCCTGGAGCTAGAGAATTTATCCTGGATGATCTGATAAAGTGGACGGACTACAGGGTTTGGATGTTAGCTGGAACTAGTGTTGGAGATGGGCCTAAAAGTACTCCGATAGAAGTTAAAACAGACGAAGATGGTAAGCCAGTTGTAACTCTTGTCCTTTCCTTCAGAACTATAAACTAACTTTTCCGGGTTCGGTTTTAACTAACATTCGTTCTTTCATCGGGTTTATCTTAGCCCAGGTTCGGGATTTAACTAACATTCGTTCTTTCATCGGGTTTATCTTAGCCTAGGTTCGGGATTTAACTAACATTCGTTCTTTCATCGGGTTTATCTTAGCCCAGGTTCGGGATTTAACTAACATTCGTTCTTTCATCGGGTTTATCTTAGCCTAGGTTCGGGATTTAACTAACCTTCGTTCCTTCATCGGGTTCATCTTAGCCTAGGTTGGGAGATTTGAAGAGAAGATTAGGATAACATTGAGGACAAAATTAAATATTTATTTCCATGTGTAGAGCTGTATACTCATCTGAGAACAAAAATAAATTTAATTCCGTCCCAACCATTCATCATCACACAGATACATACACAAAACAAATAACATCTTGAAAGGCAGGGGGAAACCAACTTAATCCTTTAACCTGCGATAAAACAAAATAAAAAAGTTCGTTTTTCCAGCCTGTAAATAGTAATACAAATCTTTTAAATGCTGCTGGGGATTTTTTTAGTAGATTATTTCAAAATAAATTTGGGGTATATTTTGTAGATTTATACTTTTTTAATTCTATGTTTTGTATATTAGTGCATCAACGCAATGCAAGTTAGTACTTTATAGTTGCATGCCAACATAGTAAACATAATCATAACATTAACTCAAGTTTAGAACTCATACAGGACCTGGACCCTCTGTACAGGACACATATAAAAAATAATAAATTAATTACTTGTTCAAACTTTGGTTTTTAGGAACAGTCCCTTTAATCTTCATTTAAGATTACTTTCAGACTCTTTATCATAATATAAACCTCTTTTTCAATTTTCAAAGTTGCAATTTTTAAACTGGTCTGGTAAACGCTTAACTATGATAAAGTAAAAAAATTTAAAATGTTTAAAAAAGAGTAAATTATTCCCTTTGCATGAACACAAACTGGTTTCTAGAAGCTAAATAAAGATTTCCCCACGGGGTAGAATATGCTTTTTTATACATATACACAAACATTATAGATCTATACATTACATATACACGAACATTGAAGGTGTATAAATGTACACAAACATTGGAGGTATATGTATATGTATATGTATGTACTACATATACACAAACAACTACATAAGAGGTTTATTCATATGTGAGCATACGTATGCTCACTCCACCTTAAACCCTTCTATAAATGCATATTACATATATAATTATATACTCAACCTTTTTAGAAATATTTGTAATTTAGGACGCTCCGCGCCCCTCTTTTTACTTTTATTTTCTTATTACTGCCAACATTTTCCCGCCAAATTAAAGTTAAAGACTTCCTTATGTTTTCTGTTTTCATTATTTTCAAATACAAATATTTTATAGGCAACGTTTTGAAATTCGGATTGCTTTAAAGCGACTCCGGGGTCATTTGAGGTCCGACAAAAAATTTGGACCCGATCTTTTTTGACGTTTACAAACAATTAAACCTTCCAAAAGTCCTTCAAATTTATATAGATAGATATAGAAATCAGCAAACACATATATACATTAAACCTAGATATTACATATTTAAAAATATAAAATCCTTTTCTTCTCTTTCTAAAAAAAGGTTAATAACCCTGCAAATATGCAGGAAAAAAATGCTGGATAAAAAGTAACAGAATATTCTGATTTTCTAAACAACCTAATGTTGTAAACCTTTGATATTTCAAACTTTTTTATATTAGACCTACCAGAATTCATAGTTTGAAATATCAAAAAACAACATCAACATCAGGTTGCAAAGATATAAGGATTTGAAAGTTAGAAAGTGTTCAGTTCCTTTATTAAATCTATATTGTTGATGTTAATCTAAGCTCATTTATTTCTCATTACTTTCCGGCTTGTGCAAATTTTAAATCTCGACGCTTTATCCTTTGTAAAAAAAGTTGTCCTTTACGCTTTTTAAAATTTTTATTTCTTTAATTTTTATTGATATTTCTTGTAAATATAGGACTAGGGAGGGGGGGGGGGAGACACTAGACATGTGTTAAAGATGAGAATTTGTATCAGACAATTTTTACATTTCTTTTTTGTCTTGAGTCAAGAATCTTGACATATCCTGTCAATCTAGTTGAATATTAGACAAGGAGAAAAATCTTTGAATTTTTGTATAAAATGGTATTTTCCCTAGCTGTAGACATTCACTAATAATATATTCAATATTTCTAGCAAGCTACAGTAAGTATAGGCAGAGCCATCCAATCGTGCAAACCGAACTAACATAAAATTTTTACATTTATTTTTTAAAAAGTTCGGTTTGCATCGAGCCCCCTGTTTTCATCTTGGAATGTTGTATTATGGGATTTGTTGAAGATTTTCTTGAGAGACTAGTCTAGAGTAGACCCTGAGCTCTTGACGGAACCAAGTTCTTCTCTCCCTACTCTCTCAGGAGGATCTTCAAGTTGTTCAACATGTTTAGTCATAAGATTACTTTCCAACTTGGACCTTCATGCATAGATTTCTATAATCTGATATTGATATAAACATCCTCTATTTGAATTTTTAAAAAGAAGGTTTTCATGTAAAAATGTAAAAACAGAAAACAGAAATACAAACGTTGGATTTCTGGATTTTTTATCAGCGCAAGCATCTAGGAAAATACAGAGCAATTGGAAAAATTTCAAATATGGTTTCTGATTTGTTAAAATTTACTCTTTTTTCATTTTGACATGGAAGCCTACAGACAGAGTATCCCTTAAACCCGACTTGCTACAGATATTTTTAAGAAAAGTATTTTTGTTTGAGATTTAATATTGTTCTGTGATCAGTTTGGTATTTCTTTAGTGTACAGTAGACCCTGGAATAATCAGATTTTTTACTTAAATAATATTTCTTTATATTGACGTAGAATCTAGCATATTTATATTCTGATTAAATATAAATATAATAAATTTAATTTGTAGATTTATGATCTTAGAATGAATTGAAGAAGAAAAAGTAAATATAAAAATATAAGATAAGAATGGTTTTGATGGTTTAGAATTCTTATATTACCAGATCTGCACTCAAAGTATGCATTACAATTCAGCTCAAAATAGCAAAATAATCATTTAAACTCAAAATGATGAGGAAAAAAAGTCAAATACATAACACATTGTAAAAAAAATCCAAGAAAATTTTTACATTTTCAATGGCATAAAATAAATTGAACAGGTTTCAATTCAATCAAGCTGGTATTCAATCTTTGAGCTGTACAAAATTTCATCTCAAATCACGGACACTTTACTCACAATACTTCAATACAATAATGTATTATTGCATAAAATGTTGTGGGGGGGGGGCTGAACATATTTCAAAGGACCCAAAGGTAAGCTATGTCGTGTGAGATTTGAATAGAAATGAATATTTTTGCATGTTTTTTTATTAGAGGTCAATCAGGACTGGCCGTAGGACTAAGTTTACTGCACAGTATCCTTATTTATTTAGCACATGTTCGGTTTAAACTGGTTTTGGTTCCATGGACCTAGTTCAAAACTACGTCAATAGATGTCGTTATGTACGTTTTTATTATGCATAACGTTTACTTTATGCAAACCTTTCATTATACTTTTTAAGCAAACATCAAACTCTATACCCTCAGCATATGAATTCAATAATAATGATTTTCTGGCCTGATCTTTTTTATCTTCACTCTTAAATACAATTCCTTAAATACCCTCTTGCTCCGGTCTACTGTATTGGTAAGATACAGGAGGAGAAGAAGGAGACAATCCTTGAACTCCTGGTTTGTTGTTGGATCTGTCTAATGGTTGATATTATAGTGCCCGGAGAACCTAGAGATGTTCAGGCTCGACCAATAAACTCTTCAACTATCCTGGTAGAGTGGAAACCACCCTTGGATACTAAACATAATGGGATAATCAGGGCATACCAGATATATGTTCAACCAAAGAAGACGGTAAGATTATGCTAATTAATGTTAAAGGAGGTGGCGACGTATCTTCTTTAACGTCCGCTTCACAACGATTCTCTTTAAAATCCATTTCTGAGGAAATATGAGAAAAATTGTCGTTTAGGCTATTTTTAAATACGATAAATTCTGTAAAATTCCCTCCTTGTTTTTGATACATAAATCCGCGAATCACTTGTAAACAAAAGATTAACAATTTTTATCTAGAAAAATAAGTAAACCCCGACAAAGGTTTAAAGGGCTGTCATGGTATTAATTAATTAAAAGGCCTATTTAAATATAAATTCTCTTAAAATTCACCATTTTTAATCATTTTTACCCTTAATATTATTAATATTAGTCGGATGCATTAATTTTTAATCATTTTTACCCTTAATATTATTAATATTAGTCGGATGCATTAATTTTTAATCATTTTTACCCTTGATATTATTAATATTAGTCGGATGCATTAATTTTTAAATATTAGTCAGATACATTAATTTTTAATCAAAATGAAAAGGATTTTTTCAATTTAAATTTAATATTTTATAATTAACATAACTGTTGAAAAGCAGAACAAGAATTTATTTTATGTTAATTGTAAATAATCCGTTTACACAGGTTCAATTCAACTCTTTAATTTCATCAGTTTGTTTAATATCAAATATTGGTCAAATTGTTTGAATTAAATATTGAAATTTGTTTTTCTCCGAACAATATCCATATTTCAATATATTTCCACTTTTATTAAATTACTAAACTTCCTTCTTTATTTATTTTATATCACTCAAATCATTTTCTAATCTATATTTTTCAAGCTGATGGTGGATACCTTTGATATTTTAAACTTACTATTTATTCTAACAGAATTCAAAGTTTAGATATATTAAAGGTCTGCGATATCAGGATGCGAAATATAGGGATTAGAAAATCCGAGTTTGAGCCACGTGTTTATTTCTTTTGTAAAACCAAAGATTTAATGATTTTATTGCATTTATATTCATAATTTCATCTTCTGTTAATATTTAATCCCATTTTTTTTCTTTCATCCCTCTTCTTTTTTTTATTTCCCATTTCTCTGTTCATTAAAACTGAAATATATAAATTTAACCTTAATCCAGATTAGAACCGTCTTATACGCGGTTGGATTAAGGTTGTCTAATCTTTTTTGTCAAGTTCTGACAGGTTTCCGGACTCAAGAAATCTCTTCCCAATCCCTCAACTGATAAATGAATCTAACATCAAACTGAACCTTACTTTCTCTTCTCTCTGCAACTTAAACCTGATCCATCTCATCTCATCTTAAACCTTTATCTTCTCTTTTCACTTAAACCTCCAACTTCTCTTCTCTTTTATCTAAAACCTTCACCTTCTTTTCTCTTTTTATCCTAAACCTCCACATTCTCTTTTTTTCACCTGAACCTCCGCCTTCTTTTCTCTTTTATCCAAAATCTCCACCTTCTCTTCTTTTTTCACCTGAACCTCCGCCTTCTCTTCTCTTTTTATTTAAACCTCCGCTTTCTCTCCTCTTTTATCTTAAACCTCCACCTTCTTTCTCTTTTATCTTGAACATCAAGTTCTCTTCTCTTTTCATCTTAAACCTCCACCTTCTCTTCTCTTTCTCTTTTTATCTTAAAACTCCACTTTCTCTTCTCTTTTTATTTTAAAACTTCACCTTCTCTTCTCTTTCCACTTAAACCTGATTTTCACCTTTTTTCTTCTAAATTCTCTTTTTGAAAATTATAGGACAATGTGTTATAAACCGAATTGCTTTTCATGTAAAACTAATTAGATATGTTTTAATATGCTTTGATATTTGTTGTGTACATGTCAGAAAATTACTTTAAACTCTAGTTATACGAATTAATGTCTAAACTATTTTGTATAAGATAAATTCGCACCCTGATCTCTAATCGTTCTTCTTAAATCTATTTAATTGAAATGTTTTGTTATTATTACTAAAATTAGGTGGAAAAAATAATCAAAACAGCCAAGAGCTATTTTCCACCTAATTGCTTTATACTTGTACTATTAATATAATCATCAATTTGTAATTGTAAACTATATCTGTATACAGATACATTTATTTTAGCAATAAACTTTATCTTATCTTATCTTATCTAACTTTTACTTTCTCTGTTTCGTTTGAGTTTATATATTCGTATTCTCATTTTATCGATATTTAACTCAACCTTGTACTTTCATATCATGACGTATAACTCGTTTGTCAAAAATCATGAAACATCTTTATATTTTAGGACGGAGTTCAACATTACTATTCTCAACCCTTGAGGTTTAGTACAGAGGATGCATCCTACACGATGATGAACGTAACTGAACTCCAACCTGACACCAAATACAAAGTTCAGGTCAGTTGGAAGAGAAAAGAACGTTAATTATAATTTTTTTTCTTTCTGTTTGAATTCTAAAGATTATGCATAAGCTGCCTAAGCTAATCAAAGATATTGATATCTATGTTTATGTTTTTATAATATATTTGTATACACGTCAAAGCCATTTTAATTTATTTTTAAGTTATTAATTTACTTGGACATATTTTAATATGTTAACATGAAAACCGGATTTATATATTTATAATATAATATATATATAAGTATATTTATTGTTTGGGCCATCTGTGTTTGTAGGACGGATAATGGATATATTATCTGTAATGAGAACCTAGTTCTTATCTATAATAGTTTTCTTGCGGAGACATACATATTACATAAATGTAAAGAGACGTCTTGTATCCAATACTCTCATTTCTTTTCCTCTTACAACCTTAAACCGTCCTAAACCCTACTTACTCACTCACTGGGAAAATGGGGGAACAGGAAACTCTTCAAATATTTTTATTTACAAATGTTGTAAAGATACTGACAGAAAATTGAGCTGAAAGATATTTTCCGGATATTAGATGAATATATAAATATATAAAAATATGCTGGCTTAGGTTGCTGCTCTGACAAGGAAAGGAGATGGAACCCGGTCTGAGCCGGTCAATGTGAAAACTCCTGGAGGAGTTCCATCCCGTCCTGAAGCTGAGATCAAGTAAACAATTCTTCATACTTATATAATTATACTTCGTACAGAATTATACTTACCATGCCCTTTCTTCGTCCCTTGTTAAAGTTTCACAGAACTGTACTTTGTACAATTATGTACTCTGTACTCTTAACAGTGTTGTACTTTGTAGAGTTTTGTACTCGAGGTACAATGTTGTACTTTGTAAAGTGTTGTTTCTTGTACGGTGTTGTACTCTGTACAGGGTTGTACTTTTTACAGTTTTGTACTCTGTCCAGTGTTGTACTCTGTACAGTGTTGTACTCTGTCCAGTGTTGTACTCTGTACAGTGTTGTACTCTGTACAGTGTTGTACTCTGTACAGAAAATCAAAATGAAAGTTCTCGTCTCCCCGTTCCCGACCTTTCAGTCAAATATATTTATTTTAAATTTAAGATTTGTTTTCTCTTTGGTTTAGATTTACATAATTTCACAATATTTTGCATCAAACTTTATAGTTTATACCAAACATTTTAAATTCAAAAACTTTCAGGAATTAATTCTCAGGTTCATTTAACATCAGAGACTGGAAAACGTCTATTAAAAATTTAGAAAACCTCGAAAATATTAAAAACAAATTTTAAAATTATTATGTATAAATCTATACAAACTTCAAACTAGACTTTTTTGTTTGCAGGGGGGGGGTTGAAGGGAGAATTCTGAAAATTTATTAATCTATACTTAATAAATGACTGTATGGGTTCGATTAATAACTGGAAACAAGAATAGAATATATAATAAGACACGAAATAACCATATCGGAATGATTATGTTTAATAAAGTGTGAAGTGTGAACCCATTTTTAATAAGTCAATACAACAATAAAGTATTGATTTAGTCTCCGTTGTAGCTTTTATAAAACTCAATTTGTTTGCGAAACAAATCAATATTTAATACCATTAAATACTATATTTAAGGTAAAAGGCTTAATTTACCCAAGTGAGATTGTCATGCATTGAAGGTAGTCTTTACAGCCTCATTCTATGTTGGTAACTCTGTATAAGGCCAGATGTTACTAAGATTTGTTAAACATGTGTGTTAAAACGGCTGAACCGAACCTGCTGAAAAAAAAACCTGGGTTTATAGATGGTCAAAGAAATTGAGTCTTTGCAACAATTTCTGGTTTTCTAATCCCTATATCTTTTCAACCCAATGTCTTAAACCTTAGATATTTCAAAAAAAAGGATTAGAACTTTTGAGTTTGTGGCAAAGACTCAATTCCTTTTAAACATTTTGCATCCGAAAAATGAAAACGCTTTATAAATCTTTAATTGCTATTCTTTTATACAGTTTCAAGTGAAAATTTTTGCAGTTAAAATTTATTATATACTAAGGGTCCTATTCTGAATTTTGAAATGTTAAAAGAAGTCTAATGTTTGTTTTGCAGGTTAGTGGAGACGGATCACAAGATAACGATGGATTTGGAATGGAGAGCTCCAGAGCAAACCTTTGGCCCTCTCAAGGGATACAGGGTTAGGTACGGTAGACTGAACCAGGAGAAGCTTATAGATATTCTCATCACAGATCCTAACGTTCAACACCAGGAGATCTCAGGACTAGAGAAGGGTATTGAGTATGAGTTTAGAGTAGCAGGCGTAAACAACGTTGGTCCAGGACAGGAGTTTATCCTACCCTATCTTACTCCGGAGGGAGTTCCAACCGACTCACCGAAGAACATAACCTGGAGATTTCAAACCCCCGACGTAGTTGAGATTGTTTATGATCCTCCTCCTGAGCATGCACGAAACGGGCAGATTATCCTGTTTGAAATCCAGTTCTGGAAAGGAGCAGATCCGAACCAGAAGAAACTACGAAGCACCAATGCCAAGAAAACTGTGTTTGCAAACCTGGATGATAATACAGAATACAAGTTTAGTGTTAGGGCCAACACAAGGAAGGGATACGGTCCCTGGTCAACACAACAAACATTCAGGACAGATCGGAATATAGTGAGAGCACCTCTCGGAGTTAAAGCTATGGCAACCAGTGACTCAAGTCTTGAGGTGAGTTGAAACCGTCTCTCCTACTCTGTTTTCTAGCAGGAAGTAATTTATTTGAATTCCACTATTCTTATTCAAGTTTTTAGTTTTCTTGATCAAATGTCAACATTCCTTCAGGGAAATAATTTATTCATGAAGAATATTAGACTTATCTTTCTTTTCTCAATATCTTGAAAAGAGGGAGAAAATCTTGAAGATTTTGGAATACACTGATAGGACGGATTTGAATGATATCTCTAACAGACTGCCACTCCATTAAGACGTATTTCTATGAAACCTATAATTTTGGTAACCCATAAAACGGACACCCCAAGTTTGGTTTTCATGATTTAGGGTACAGACTTTAAAAAATTTAAAAATGAAATAATGTTTTACATTAGTAATTATATTTAATGTTACAGGTTCTAAAAATTGCATGTATTGCAAACCCGGAAAAATGTTAAAATAATTGTTAAAGAAAGAAATTATTGTCAATTACTTTTTGATTTATGACAAGTAAAAACAATTAGTTACGATACATTGATATTGCTTTATTACGTTAAACAATAATTACCTCAAAGTCCTTCAATATAAAAATAATTTTATTAAACCTTTTTCTTCTAAATATCCTTCTCAACCTTGATCTTGGTTATCCCTTATTTCTCTCAACCTTGATCTTGGTTATCCCTTATTTCTCTCATCCTTGATCTAAATTATTCTTTATTTCTCTCATCCTTGATCTAAATTATTCTTTATTTCTCTCATCCTTGATCTAAATTATCCTTTATTTCTCTCATCCTTGATCTAAATTATCCTTTATTTCTCTCATCCTTGATCTAAATTATCCTTTATTTCTCTCATCCTTGCTCTAAATTATTCTTTATTTCTCTCATCCTTGATCTAAATTATTATTTATTTCTCTCAACCTTGCTCTAAATTAAACTTTATTTCTCTCAACCTTGATCTAAATTATTTATTTCTCTCATCATTGATCTAAATTATTCTTTATTTCTCTCATCCTTGATCTAAATTGTCATTTATTTCTCTCATCCTTGATCTAAATCATCCTTTATTTCTCTCATTCTTGATCTAAATCATCCTCTATTTTTCTCATCCTTGATCTAAATCATCCTTTATTTCTCTCATCCTTGATCTAAATCATCCTTGATCTAAATCATCCTTTATTTCTCTCATCATTGATCTAAATTATTCTTTATTTTTCTCATCATTGATCTAAATTATCATTCAGTTCTCTCATCCTTGATTTAACTATCCTTCATTTCCCTCATCCTTGGTTTAAGTTATCCTTAATCCCTCATCATTGAATTAAGTTATCCTTAATTTCTCCTCCTTCCTTCTCATTAAATATTAATTCTTCAGACTACCAGAGAATTCTCAATAGTGAGCAGTTACATGGAGCTTCTTTAAACTGAGAACACAAAATAAAACTATATAAAGCACTCCATAATTAGGTCAATAATTCCAGGGCAGAAAGGAAACAAATTCTGTCATCTTGATTTCTCGTGATTTTTAACATGAGATCTGAAAGCTTAATTGTTTTTCCTGTGCAACGAATCTAAAAATTTATAAATCAAAATTATCTTTCATAGCTAATCAAAGAAATTCTTATGAGTTGGGAAACATTCTAATGACATTAACTCTGATATTTAAAAGCTTAGAATACGCGGAAATATACGTCATGTTTTTATTAAAATTATTTCTCTTTGTCTTTTCTTCCTTTCAACATAACAAGAGCAATTTCTTTACTGATTTTTTTCTTTGTGGTGTTATGTTTACTCAAAACTTGAAAACTCTAATCCATTATCCGTCTGGTATATAATTTATCCTAAAGTTTGAACAAGTTTAATGCACAACTGCTGTGGTTTACGAGGATTATAGAACAAGTATCTCTTGTCTAAACCTTAAATATACTGAATTCCTTCCAATGTCTTCAATATTTCCATGATCAGGTTTGGTGGGAGGCAGTACCTGTAAGATCTAAGGTTATCGGATACGAAGTATTCTACAGTATGGCTGATGTTGAAGACCTGGATATGTGGCAGAGGAAAACCATTGGACTAGTCACCTCTATAGATCTTGTAAACCTGGAAAGACATGCAAAGGTAATAAGTGGTTTTATTTCTCCAACAAATAATACAACTTGAGATTCCTCCCCCTACAACCGATACAACAACTTGAGATTCCTCCCCCTACAACCGATACAACAACTTGAGATTCCTCCTCCTACAACCAATACAACAACTTGATATTCCTCCTCCTACAACCAATACAACAACTTGAGATTCCTCTTCCTGCAACCAATACAACAACTTGAGATTCCTCCTCGTACAACCAATACAACAACTTGAGATTTCTCCTCCTGCAACCAATACAACAACTTGAGATTCCTCCTCCTACAACCAATACAACAACTTGAGATTCCTCCTCCTGCAACCAATACAACAACTTGAGATGCCTCCTCTTACAACCAATAAAACAACTTGAGATTCCTCCTCCTGCAACCAATACAACAACTTGAGATTCCTCCTCCTACAACCAATACAACAACTTGAGATTCCTCCTCCTACAACCAATACAACAACTTGAGATTCCTCCTCCTACAACCAATACAACAACTTGAGATTTCTCTTCCTGCAACCAATACAACAACTTGAGATTCCTCCTCCTACAACCAATACAACAACTTGAGATTCCTCCTCCTGCAACCAATACAACAACTTGAAATTCCTCCTCCTACAACCAATACAACAACTTGAGATTCCTCCTCCTACAACCAATACAACAACTTGAAATATTTTCATAAATTATTTATTAATTTTTCTCCTTATCCTCATCCTTTACCTTCACAAATACTTATATCAAGGAAACTAAATGTCAAAATGTATTATTGTAGTTTAATTTTAATTTTTATCTTATTTTTGTCAACCTCCACTTAATCTTAGGGTCTTTGGAGAAGAAAGAACTCTTAATATTTGTAATTGTGTTAAAAATTTCAATGGTTCAACTTTTGTATCTCAAAGAAGAAAAATCCTCTTTTTCCCTTGTTCAGTACTTTATCTTAAAATCCCCTTATTTAATCTATATATCTTTCATGGAAGTGAAGGGGTGGGTGGGAGAGGGAGACCTTTCACAATTCGGAAAGAAGAAAATGTTTAATTATTTGCACTTTAAAATTGAAACTCCCCCTTTTCATCTCCCCCCCCCTCTTTCGTCTCTCTCTTGGTTTCTATTTCCCCTGCCTGGACTGCCCGGAAAATGCAGGGTTAACATGTATCTTATATGAAATGTATTGTCTGGAGAATATAGATATTGAATATTTTAGTATTCCATTGCGGTCGCAGCAAGGACTGTTGATCAGACTCTGGGAAGATTATCCCAGAGAATAACGGTCGGAGTCAAGCCTGAAGATGTTCCAATGAATCTGCGAGGAGAAGGTGTTACAACCCATACCATGAGACTAACCTGGGGACCACCCATTAGGTAAATTAATAGATATTGTAAAATTTAGATTTTTTATACTTGATAAAGGGTTTATCTTGAATTGCGTATTATTGCGTAAATTTTGATTAAAAAGCCGTTTCCAACCTTTATGTTTTGATAGATGGATTTCTTGGTTAAACTTTTTCCCGGTTTGATTTATTAATTAATAAGTAATGATGGATAAAACACCAATTTTTTCGTTTTGTTTTTAAGTGGTTTTATTTTAGATTGATCCCGATCAACTACCAGATCTCCTATGATGCGGACAAAGAGTTTGTTGATGCTCAGGGTGTAACTCAAACTGTGAAAATACCAAAGATAACCATCCTTGTGAGCCACAACACCATGGAGTACACCATCAAGGACCTGTCTCCCTTTACCACCTACCACGTCAACGTAACTGCTGTACCCGAGGGACGGAGTTACAGACCTCCGGCAAAGATTACCGTTACTACACAGATGGCAGCTCCGCAACCTATGGTCAAACCGGATTTCTTCGGAGTAAAGAAGGAAACTCCCGGAGTTATCACTGTATACCTGCCCCAAGCTAGTGAGGAGTACGGACCTATTTCACATTATTATCTTGTTGTTATACCGTACGCTAATTCTACCCGGACCAAACATCCTGACTATTATGATTCTTCAGATCTAATTGCTAACAGTAAAGCTCCTGTATCCACCTCGCTAGAGAACAAGGATGTGAAAGGAGAACCTGAAGCTAAACCTTACATTACAGCAAAGTTTCTTCAGCGGAATCTACCCTATACATTTCCCCTCGGAGATGGGAAAACCCACGAGGGTTTCTTGAATCGTCCCCTGGAGAAGGGCGTGATATACAAGATCTTCGTCCGAGCTTATGTTGATGTTCCTCAGAAGCATTTATATACATCCTCTCCCTTCTCTCCGGTTCTCTCTCTTGACATGCCATACGGTAAAGATAGATTGCTTTACATTTACAAAAAGAGGGATTTTAGCAATTCTTTCCCCCCGAGCAAACATTTATCTCAATATGCCAGATCCTAGACATTTTATTTTCATGAATTATTTGTCATATACAAGAACCTCGCATTAAATTAATTTTAATACATTTAGCTAATGAAAATGGTTCATAGAATCATATATAAAGCTTTATATTTCTATTCCAGCTTTCCAGTTGCCAGAGATGCTTTTATTCAAATAATGTTTATATTTTAGAACCGTATATACCCTCTGCTACTCGGCCCCCGGCACAGGACCCTATCCCGTGTGACGACATGGCCAACTGCAGCAATATCCTGCCGGACCCTAGGAGAGCTAACCTCGTCTGGGTAGTTGGTCCAGTCGTAGCTGGAATAGGACTCGCAGCAATAGTCGTTATGGTCATTCTCTTTAAAAGGCGACGGCATCCCGTCAAACAGCCAATGGACGCCGGTCAGATCATGACACCGCTTATGTCTGGGTTTGAAATGCAGAATGCAAGCGTGATTGCTCCGTCCGATCCGGTTGAGATGAGACGAATGAATTTTCAGACTCCGGGTATGCTCTCCCATCCACCGATCTCCATTAGCGATCTTGCTAATCACATAGAAGATCTGAAAGGAGAAGGTTCTGGAAAGTTTACAGCTGAGTATGAGAGTATAGAACCTGGTCAACAGTTTACTTGGGACAACTCTAGTATGGATATAAACAAACCAAAGAACAGGTAACATTTTATAAATAAGTGTTTAACCTCAAATCAGAGAGAGAACATCTAATATGAGACTTACTTGGTTATATTTGTAGGTATGCTAATGTGATAGCATATGATCACAGTCGAGTTGTTCTTCAACCTGTAGATAGTGTGGTTGGGTCTGATTATATCAATGCTAACTACTGTGACGGATACAGAAAACAGAATGCTTACATTGCAACCCAGGTAAATATATATATATATATAATACATATACTTAGGTATCTATGGATATTCACAATCTATGCAATAGGTATTTCAAATAATCCTAAAAATACATACAAACTAGGTTTCTCTAGCGTACAAGTACACCTACAATTTTAGACATCCTTTTGTAGTATTTAGAGACTTACCTTTACTCTCTGTTATGACAAAGCTTGATTTTATCATTTGGAAGATTATAAATCAGGTGTCTAGTTGGATTGAATTTGGTCTATATGTATTCCTTTCCAATATTTTTAACTTGCAATAAATGTTGCCAGGGAATGTTAACTACATTTTGAGAGAGGCGGAAGAGGGGGGGGGGCAGGTTAATTGAAGTATGTAAAGTTGTTGGTTTTGATTGTTGTTTGCAGGGGAATAGATTGATGTGTTGCTTAGCTCTGGGGAATAATTTCTAGAAAAGATTACAAGTCTCAGGTCTATATAAACCTTAATTATCTCCAGTAATGGTATTAACTCTCCCCTTGCCATTATATGCCGGGAGCTATAATACAGAGCCTTGGGAGCTCAATCAACACCTGGTTTTCTGGTTCTACCCCGAACCATACTCCAGAAGGTCTAAACTACTGTAGGATTGGAATGAAAGTTTGTATGAGCAAGCTGTTGCTTCAATCTCAGCCAAGTTTTACTAGTTTGTCCTCAGTAGCTGTTCAAAATATAAGAGAGGAAATTTATTTTTTAAATTCTTCAGTTTACATAAGAATTTGATTTTATAATTAAACAATCTTCAATTTCAGGGCCCGCTTCCGGAGACATTTGCGGATTTCTGGAGATTAGTCTGGGAGCAGAGAAGTTCAACCATAGTTATGCTGACCCGTCTGGAGGAGAGAGCTAGGGTGAAGTGTGATCAATACTGGCCAACTAGGGGAACAGAAACCTATGGGGTGATGTGTGTCACCTTGACGGATACTCAGGAGCTTGCAACCTATGTCATCCGAACCTTCCAGCTTCAACGCGTGAGTAGCGCACATGTAAGCTCCCAACCTGCATGCTTCCTAATTACGCTTACTGTTATACGTAGCCGCTACAATGACAAAGGAGAGGGTGCATGGGCTTCATTAACATTTTATTTTAAATACTCGGAATTTTAAAATTTAGAAACAAAAGCTAAAACTAACTTCTTCACTTTCTCTCAGTTTCTCTGGCATTAATGGAAATATATGTTTTTTCGTTATATATATTGATTTGGTAATTATCTATAATTAGATATAATTACTTTTAACTCAGATTCTTCAGAAATCCCTTCTCTTATCGGGATATTGAGGGGGCGAGGTTCTCTCATGGTATAACAGTATATATAGTAGCTCAGGATATCTCACTCAACCTACCTCTTTAATTCTAATTTTCATTTATTCACAAAGTAAATTAAACTTTTTGATATAGTTAAGTATTTTTTTTATTTTCACTATTGATGTTGATTTCATCATTTCATTCATTCAAGAGTTAATATTTGAGATATTCTTTGCAAGCAGATTCAGGATACATCTTCCCATTGTACCCTGTATCCTGTATCTGCTTTTTTATCTCACCTGGGGTGTATATATTTGAGAAAAGGAAATTAAACTGATTTTCAGAGATTTGTACGGAAACATCTTTAATCATCTTTGCATCCTGATGGAACTAATCTTTGGTAGTCAAAACTTTGATAATTTGATTTTTAACAGAATTCATTTTGAAATATCAAGTGTCAAATAAGGATTAGAAAATCGGAGTTTGAGGCAAGTAATCAGTTCCCTAAATACTTAACTTGAAAATCTTAATCCAAATTGAAATTCGGCATTTTCACTTCTCTTCCCTTTCATATGGGTTGGGTCTGTATTTAAAAGTAGTCTGCAGAGTTGAAGAAGTGAGAACTATCTAGATATATACATCCCTGTCTTTCACTAGTATAGACACCTCGTACAATATACATTTTTTACAAAACACAAGTATTTAGTGCAAAGTTGTTGCACTTTTACTTTTCTCACCCTTCAAGATTTCCAATAAGTTTCAAACCTTGGCATCAATAAACTTAGCTTTCATACCATGCATGCATACCCCATCTATCTATCTAGATATCTAGGTATCTGGGTATCGGGGTATCTAGGTATCTAGGTATCTGGGTATCTGGGTATCTGGGTATCTGGGTATCTGGGTATCTATCTATCTAGGTATCTAGGTATCTAGGTATCTGGATATCTGGGTATCTGGGTATCTAAGGCATCTTGTAGGTATCTAGATATCTAGGTATCTAGATATCTAAGTATCTAGGTATCTTATAGGTATCTAGGTATCTAAGTATCCAGGTATCTAGGTATCTAGGTATCTAGGTATCTAGGTATCTAGGTATCATCTAGGTGTCTAGGTGTCTAGGTATCTAGGTGTCTAGGTATCTATGTATCTAAGTATCAAGGTACCTAGGTATCTAGGTATCTATGTATCTAAGTGTCAAGGTATCTAGGCATCTAGGTATCTAGGTATCTAGGTATCTATAGAAATCTAGGATCACTAGAATCTTTAAAGTTTAACCTTGCCCAGATACTGGTTTAGATACTCTAGATCCTGTAGAGGCTCTAGTAACAGATTACTTATGAGTTTGATCCTTAATACCTTGGTCTCATAAAGTTGTAGAAACTTAGCATGTATGTAATGGTTAGGCAAAAATTAGATAATTAAACAAAGACTTTTTGATTTCTTGTTATTTTGCAGTAAACGCTACTGTATTATATCCACGGTATTAAATGTTTCATATTTAAAAACTGTTTCCTATTCTTGCATGAAAACCCACTGTTTTCTCATTATTTTATGTTCGACGCTCATAAAACAAAATTTTATTTGGTTCGGAACAAAGAAAAGTTTTTAACAGAGAAATTTAAATAAATTTTGATGAATTTTTCTGGAAAAAAAATTGCCTTTTAGTTTACTAAATGTTTAACTAGGGGATTTAAAAGTTCGTAGAACCTTAGTTGTAAATCCAATCCTGCTGAGAAATATACAAGTTATAAACTTCCTTCACTTCAACTTTAAATGCAGTCATGCTATAAGAACTAAAAGTAAACAAAAAATATTGATTTCTTACCTTAACATTAGATTGTACTAAAACCCAATTCCTAGGTTTTATGAGCGTTAGCTCCGGGTCGTAGGAAAGACTGACAAAACTATTTTGAATAGATGGGATACACGGATAGAAGGGAGATTAAACAGTTCCAGTTTACTGCTTGGCCTGATCATGGTGTTCCAGAACATTCTGCTCCGTTCCTTCAGTTCATTCGTAGAATTCATACTCTTAACCCTGGAGACTCCGGACCTATCGTTACACACTGCAGGTACAAATTTCATATTATCTTATTCAGAGGCGTAGTCAGGGGGGGGGGGGGCTATGGGGGCTAAGCTCCCTCCTGGACCAGTAAAATCTATGGATTTCAGTAGGTTTTCAGACCCCAACGGGTAATGAGCCCCACCCACCTGGAAAGAAAAAATCTAAGCCCCCCTGGAAAAATTCCTGACTACGCCCTGAATTCTTATTAAAAGGAATGTTCGTAAAAAAAGAAAGAGGCTGAACATTATATATTATCCAGAACGAGATGGGCTTGAATAATACAAAATACGCTTTTAGTGCCGGAGTTGGACGAACTGGAGCTTTTATAGTAATAGACTCAATGCTGGAGAGATTGAAGCACGAGAAAACTGTTGATGTCTACGGTCACGTGACCTGTCTCCGAGCACAGAGAAACTACATGGTTCAGACGGAGGATCAATATATCTTTATTCACGACGCACTTCTAGAAGCGATTCTATCCGGGAACACGGAGGTATTGTAAACAACATAGACATTTTACAATTTAAAACTATAGTTTTCCTTTACCAGATCTAAATATTTAACTTTCTCCAGGTGCCTGCCCGGAACTTGCATCAACATATCCAAAACCTACTACAAACCGATCCCGGAGACAATATTACTCCGATGGAGTTGGAGTTTAAGAACTTAGCTAATGTAAAAGCGGAACCGTCAAGGTTGGTTTAAATCTTGTTTTTTCTCTCACTTTGTAAACAATGTGAAATATGTTCAACAGCTTTAATTCTTGTTTTTGTTTAGGTTTGTATCCGCAAATCTTCAGGTTAATCAGTTTAAAAACCGTCTTGTCAACATACTACCGTTCGAATCCTCACGTGTTTGTTTACAACCGATCCGTGGAATGGAAGGAAGCGATTATATCAACGCTAGCTTTATCGACGGATACAGGTAAAATTTAGTTTACTTTAATATACTCATAGCTATATATATTTTTATATTGAAGTTTAGATATAGCAGTGTCTATATAAATTAATGTTTAGGTATCCTAGTGTCTATATATCTATATAATAAAACAAAACATTAGTATATGTGTTCCCTATAGTCGGCCATACGACTGGACTGAATGGGTTAACATTTTTTGAGTAAATTTAAATAACTGTATCACACACCCTCAACAAAGTTTTTTAGTAAAATGCAGGACACTCATGACCGAAGATAAAAGTAGGGTTTAGAGAAGAGTGCGCAGTTCCTATATATAATGATATAGACTATAAAGGTATCGCAGTGCCTTTATATAATAATATTTAGGTATCGCAGTGCCTATATAGCTACTCAGGGTCCATTAAATGAGACAGTGGAAGACTTTTGGCGAATGCTCTGGGAGCACAATTCTACTATAGTTGTCATGCTTACCAAACTCAGGGAGATGGGCAGGGTAGGTTTTTTTCATAATTTATTTTTAACATACTTTTTTATTTCATTGTTTGTCTTTCGACTTTTAGAGATTATCTTTGAAACTTTATCTTTTCACTCGAAAATTTGATAATTTCAAAACAACGATAAAATCTTAAATCTTTTGTGAGATCTGGAAAACTTACCAAGAATGCACAGTTTTTAATTAGACAATTCAATCTTGAGGATCTTTGTCTCTAAATCTACTTGGAACTGAGACGGAAACCCAATTAGTAAACTCGGAGGAAACTTCTTTACAATTCTTTTCCCTCTCTTCATCTTTTACCTTTCCTAACCTAACATTTGACATTGTAGCCTAATGTTGTAGACCTTCGATATATCAAACTAGGAACTCGATTAAATAATCTAAATGTTGCATAGATAAAGGGATAAGAAAATTCGTTTTTGTGGCAAACACTTCATTTCTTTAAAGATTGAACAATTTAAAAAAGATTGAACGGAGTCTTGTAATGAATACACTATTATAAACGGAAACTAAACGGAAAGATTGAAAAGAAATGTTTAATATGCATAAACTGAACGGAAAGATTAAACAGAAATGTTTAATATATATAAACTTAACGGAAAGATTGAAAAGAAATGTTTAATATATATAAACTTAACGGAAAGATTGAAAAGAAATGTTTAATATATATATAAACTAAACGGAAAGATAGAACAGAAATGCTTAACATATTTAAACTAAACGGAAAGATTGAACAGAAATGTTTAATATATATAAACTAAACGGAAAGATTGAAAAGAAATGTTTAATATATATAAACTAAACGGAAAGATTGAAAAGAAATATTTAATATATATAAACTAAACGGAAAGATTGAACGGAAATGTTTAATATATATAAACTAAACGGAAAGATTGAACAGAAATGCTTAACATATATAAATTAAACGGAAAGATTGAACGGAAATGTTAAATCTCTCAACTAAACGGAAAGATTGAACGGAAATGTTAAATCTCTCAACTAAACGGAAAGATTGAACGGAAATGTTTAATATATATAAACTAAACGGAAAGATTGGACAGAAATGCTTAACATATATAAATTAAACGGAAAGATTGAACGGAAATGTTAAATCTCTCAACTAAACGGAAAGATTGAACAGAAATGTTAAATCTCTCAACTAAACGGAAAGATTAAACGGAAAACTATATGTTTAGGAGAAATGTGCTCAGTACTGGCCAAGTGAAAGATCTGCAAGATATCAATACTTTGTAGTGGACCCACTAGCAGAGTATAATATGCCACAGTATATACTCAGGGAGTTTAAGGTTAGTATATTTGCGGGTCAAAGCTTCGATGGACTGGAATATAATCTGGATAAATACTGCCTTTATTGGTATGCCATTAAACTTTGAAATAAGAATTCAATGTTTAAAAAAACAGATTTGCATTTAATGTTGTTCTACAGCAGTATTGCAGTAGTTTAAAAAATCAAGTTTTTTTCTGGAAATGGGTCTGTGTACAGTGCACAATTGATGTATTTTATTATAGGGTGAGTTTTACAGTCCTATTCCACAGTTTTATTGGTTTCACTGTACCAAGGTAGTCCTATGTAGGATTACCAATTTCAATGAATGTTACTTAAATAAATTTGAATGAACATTTTAAGTATGATTACATTCAAATTCTTTTTATTATTTAAAATCCTTTAACTCAAAACTTATCTATTCAGGGTTGAAAATCTTTCCAGGAAAATTAAATCATATGTGAGTAGTGAGTACCATGTATATTGTACATTTTATACCATAAAAAGTATATATTTCGATGTATTGAGATAAGAAGTAAGAGATATCTGTAAAATGTATGTAATAATATTGGTGTTATATCCTGTATCCAAGCAAAACAATAAATATATATTACGTATTGAATATCTATCTAGGTATGTTTCCTCTCTTGAATATTCTGGTGGGTTGTATTGGTATTCTAGGGATGTATACTGTGTATTGGTTCCCGCCTACCTCATCTATTATTTTCCTTCTTATTAAACCAAGTAAACCTGGAGACAAGGAGACAGTAGATTAGAACTCAGGGATATCAGGGGTATTCGGGCTATAAGTGATACAATGGATATCAGGGATACCAAGGATATCAGGGATAAGGGATATCAGGGGTATTAAGGATACTAGAGATACCTGGGGATATCAGGGAAACTAGGAATATCAGGGGTATCAGGGATACTAGAAATATCAGGGGGTAAAAGGATTACAAGGGATACAGGAATACTAGGGGTATCAGGGGAATAAGGAAACTAGGGAGATCAGGGGTATTAGGGATACCAGAGATACAGGGATAATAGGGATATCAGGAATAAGGGATATCAGGGATATTGGATATCATGGATAAGGAATATCAGGTATATCAGGGGCATTAGGGATACCATGCATACCAAGGATACCAGGTGTATCAGGGATACCTGGGATACCGTGGATACCAGGGATATCAGGGATACTAGGAATACCTGTGAAAACAGGGACACCGGGAGTGAAGTTCCGATAGCTCCGACCTGAACCTTGTTCTATTCTTCATATATTTTCAGGTCACTGATGCCAGGGACGGACAATCTCGAACTATCAGACAGTTTCACTTCACAGATTGGCCGGAGCAAGGAGTTCCCAAGTCCGGAGAAGGTTTCATAGATTTTATTGGACAGGTTCACAAAACTAAGGAACAGTTCGGACAGGAGGGACCCATCTCTGTTCACTGCAGGTATAGGTTTCATCTATCTATATTGTTTGTCTGTATCCTACAAACGTCAAAACGCCTAAACAGATCGAACAATAATCGAGCCAGATTGACCCAAGGAAGGTTTAGTTAAAAAGAAAAATGGCAGCTTGAAAAAAACGGCTTTAATTGTTACTAGAAACGCACTGAAGCTGGAAGCACCCTGACAGCCTAGTATACAAATATTTATTTCCAACCAGTTCCAGGACTCAGATTATTATTTCTTAACCGCCTCTGAAAAGTAAAAAGAACTTTTACAGCCTGTCCTCGCTTTTTCCTTGCTAAAAGTTTTGATATATAATTTCTTGTTTCATGCACTTTATACCAGATCACAGACACATGTTTCCCCACATTAGTTTCTCTTTTCTTCTTACACAGAGAGAGAAGTCCCAATAAACACGAGAATCAAGCCACTGTATTATAATTGTTTGAAAAAAAATAATTGTAAAAACTTGTTTGATCACTTTAGATCACTACGACATGAGCAATTTGTTGTTATCGTAAACATTGATCTGAGCAAAATTTTAAAATCAAGTTACAAAAAAAACTAATTTTTGATTTTCATTAATATGAACACAAACAGGAAAAATACATAAAAACATAGAAGTCTTAATCTAATCATTAGTTTCTTCCATACATATATACATATTTGTATGTATTGTATAAAATATAATGTAAATCCATACTGTGCCCTTGTGTGTAATATGTGTGTTGTATCCTGACTTATTGAATATTCCGAACCTCTAGTTGTTTGCTCTTGTTTTAATATATCCGTATCTTTTCTATCCTTGACCAGGACTGATTGCCTTATTCTTTTATTATTATTATATAATATCATATTGAAAGTTTTCTTCTTCAAATCTTTTCTGCAATCTTTTATTTTCTTGAAGGGGCTTAATATTGGTTAAGAGTAAAAGATTAGAAATGGCTTGTTAAGCTACGGCCTGAAAACTGCAATGATATATTGAAATATTATCTTGGAAAACCAAAGAAATGTAATTTTGATTACTAGGCTTTTAGGGCGGTTGTATACATTGCAAAACCAAAACAAAACAAAAATTCGCGGATTTTATAAAAAAAATTCGTGGATTTTTAAGATATTCAAAAATAGAATTTTGTTAGAGGCAAATTTTAGAAAATTCGATCCTCCATAAACCTTCCTTGGGGTCACGCGAGGTCCCAAAAAAAATTTAGCCCGATCGGTTCAGCCGTTTTTTGGACACAAACAAACAGACACCCATACAGACAAGCAAAGTATATACAAAGATTGTATATTATACCTGATTACCCTTTATATTCAATATAGTCCAACAAACCTTAGAAAAATATATAAATCTTCATTTATAGATGAGGACGGATTAATACATTTTAAAATCTTTATCTTATTATTAACTGTATTCTTATTCTAGTGCCGGAGTAGGACGAACCGGTGTGTTTATCTCCCTCTCCATAGTACTGGAGAGAATGCAGTACGAGGGAGTTGTTGATGTTTTCCAAACAGTTCGAACCCTCAGGACACAGAGACCAGCTATGGTTCAAACTGAGGTAAAGTGATTCTTTAACCGAGGCAGGATGTAAAATCAAAACAGAGAGATGGAAATTTTTGAATTTACGAAATGAGTTAAACTTATTCTCTCCTCGCGGTAAGGTTTACCCATTTCTCTTTGGACAAATCCGAAGTTTTGATCAGTTATTCTGCCCCCGAGGAGAAAATTATCTTAACTCATTTCCTCCATTAAATAGTACAGTGGTCGGGGTTTATATCAATACAATGAAGACGACTTTTCTATTTCAGTTTGGATTTCTGACAAGCTTTTTCGAATTAAAAGTTTACAGGTAAACAAAGAGAATATGTTAATTGACAGCTTCTCTTTGTTTACATGTTTATGTGTATTCATGCTGTTCGACAGCTTGGTAAAACTCAACAATTGAAATTGAAAGTCGTCTTTATTGTATTGATATTTTCGACGACGACTGCAATTTATTTAAACCTCTCAGAAGAAGCTAGACCAAGGGATAAATCATGTTTAGTTAACTGAGAGTTGAATTATTAAACACCTGTTGAATTTAGTTATTTTAAACATTTAGGACAAGGGGAATTCTACTTTAATATAGAAAATAGAATCAAACACTTTTATTTGATATTTTTAACAATTAAATAAATTTTTGTAGAAGGAAACTAATGCTTTGTAACCCTAGGACCAGTATCAGTTCTGCTACAGAGCTGCCCTAGAGTACCTGTCCTCGTTCGACCACTACACTGATAATTGACAATCAGCCGGCTTGGAACTCGGTGTCTGAGCTAACTATGTCATCCTCCGCTTTTTCGGTAAGAAAAAGAACATCCGCCATCATTTTTATTTCTTTTGATTAACTGATTTTCAGCCAACTTTCTTTTTCCAAGCTTCTTTAAATATTCTCCAACCAAATTAAAATATCTAGGAAAAAACTATTTAAAAATTAAAAGTTTGACAGTCTTAAACTTACGCAATGCTAACTTTGCTATTTGCATGACGTAAATCCTGGGTTTTATTTATTTATAAGATGATTGTTATCATGAAACAGATTAAACATGTTTTTACTGTTCAGGCACAAATTGTCAGCGTCGAAATCAAAGATCTCAGCTGACTTTTGTTATGGAGTTCCCAGCCGGTGAGTCTCAATGTTCCAATTCTTCAATCTGGTCACAGATCCATTCCAGATCTCCAAACCTTCATTCAAACAACGGGGAAAACGGATTCCTAGCAGCAGGTTTCACTTCTAGTGTTCCTCCATCCACAGTTTCTAGCAGGGTCAGCTCCTGTTTCTCGTATTGTCGAGAGGGAGTTCGAGTATGGTTCCGGAGATGCTGTGAATGCCTTCGTAGCCCTGTTCCTGCTCGAATTTATGGTTTATCTGAGGATAGGTTCTGTGGAGCCTCTGCTCCACCACCAGGACAGTCCACTCTACCAGCAGGACATCATACTCCTGCAGAATTAATATCCGGAGATAAACCTCTTGATAGATTTTCCGGAGCAACTGCTCCTCATCGGCCTGGAGAGAGAAGTTCGAGTAACTCTGATAGTCCTCCGTACCTTCCTTCTCAAACTAGAATTATATCTGAAAGAAAAGGTTACAGATCTGAAAGTGGGTTCCGAGATCTTGCTGTTTAAATATGTACGAACTTTTTACACTGTTTCACAGTGTTGTACCACAGCAGTTCACTAACAAGCTAACCAACAGCAGTGCCATGTCTGTTTGCACATGTTTGAATGATCTTATGAAAAGTATGATTTGAACCTTATTTCTTACAGAACCAAGATCTCAAATGTATTTAGGATAAATGAGTGACTTGAGTGTTGTATTTCAACCAGAATAGTTTAAAATGTTTAGAACGCAAAACAATTATTTTCGCTATATTACTATAGTTCCTATTCACTTCTAACAGTGGAATTGTACTCAATGGCACAGATTATTGTTAATTAAGATGATCTTTTAGTTTTATCAAAGGAAAACTATTTAACATTTAAATTTAAACTGTTAATGGATATTGTATAAATGAAGTCCGCGCGGCATTTTAGTTCGGTGGCGTGCTGCGCGTGTTGATGCACTAAAATGCCGCGCAGATGAACGCGAATGTATCAGCACTAATAACTAAAGACGACATCGGCACTAGATTGGTTGCAGAGGATGGCATTTAATTAGCCGCGTTTCCAAGTCATTTAAATTTAACTCCAACTTTTGGATTGCTCAAAATTTTCTTGCACCTGTTAAATGTCAATTGTATGTGTATGATCAGACTCATTCTGTTCTCCAGCCATAAAGCCTTTATACTTGAAACTTAATGGCTACAATAAACATCCTGTATTTAAATATATCAATTTCTCAACCGTAAAGGTTTCAGTCTACAGTTTTCATTTTATATTACGACCTTTCTATATCTGTGGTTTAGAGCATTTTTCGAAATTTTCAGTTTATTGTTTTTTATAAAAAATTTATAGTCCAAAGTTTCAAGGATACTGTCTTCAGTCTGGAGTCACAGAGTATACTCTCATGTTCAGAGGATTCAGTGCTTACACGAATTTGCAAAATTAGCTGATCCAAACCAAACATAATAATAAAAATAAACCAAACCAAATATGATCTCCGACAAAATCTTATTAATAATATGATGCCATAACAGTACCTACTTAAATTTTCCTGTTAGAAAACAATTATAATGAATTTAACTGCAGCTAGATAGAAATATTATTCTCCTCTTACTCCCTGCCACCCTTAGAGCCCGTAAATCTAGTAGCTAGCTTAAAATCCTCTATATCAGCCTTTCGCACATATCTTCAGAAATTGTTCAGCAATGTTATATGTCAACAATAAGCTACAACGCACACAAATTAAACTTTAACACGTACAGTGTGCAGTGCACAATGTACATGTAATTGTGTATTGCACCCTGTAAAATGTTGAGATTAAGTGCAGTTAAATATTTTAAATCATGTCGCAATGATCGAATACAACGCACAAATACATGAACTATGTTTTTTGCGCTGTTGTAGTTTAACAATACATTAAATTGTACCACCTGCTTGTTGTACAATATGTACTTTGTAATTCTTTTTTCTATGATGTTAATTAGTTGTTGAAAAATGTAATTAGCGTACTATAACATTTTAAGTACATAAAAAAGCACTAGCAAATAGTTTATAAATACTTGTTTGTACATCATTTCTGTACATGTCATGGTTTTAGTACTATTTCTATTTTTTTCAACAACCAGCATTATAATTCAGTTTTAATATTCCCAAACTCAAATAATCTCGCAGATCTACTTATCCAAATTAAAGCATAATTTTATCAGAAAAGTAAAAAAAATTGTATTCATAGTACATAAGAGGCACTGTACACGTACTATGTACACCCTTATTGCGGGCAATTAGTAAAATGTGATACTAGTTTTAAATTGGGTTTAACCTATATCCATATTTTTAACATTGGATTTAATATTCGAAATTGATGTTAACAGTACTTTCCTGTACTGTAAGATACTGTACTGTACTGTACTGTACTGCACAGTTTTACTCAAAATGTAAACTAAGCTTTTACATTTTAATCCGTAAATGTAACTTAAACATGACCAATGAATGAATCATCAGACCGTGGATAATCAATCCTAATATTTATAATCCAGGCGAGCTTTCGGAAAATTATTTTTTGTTTTCAAGATGGCGCCAAATAGCGAAAAAACCTCGTCTTTGCCTGGAGTTTGCTGTTAATCAATTAATTTTATTGCTACCATTTGTTTATCAGAATCCAGTACAAAAATAAATATTATTCATTATTCCTCAAGTTGTTTTATTTACTTTTATTTCTTTACAAGACAAGAATTATCTGCACTTGGAGCACTAAATACAAAAGAATATAACTATTTAATTGAAAATATCAATTGTTACTTATAATCAGTATTCAATCAAAAGTACCTCAAACATTACTAAGAATACAACAGATGATATAATTATTTCATTAAGGAGTAAAAATGTTAAAAAATGTTTTTTTTAAAAAATCGAGAAAGGCTGTAAGGAAATTTTTAGATTGGTTTTATGTCTTCAATTTCTGATTGCCTAAAATTCACAATTCTGTGAGTCTGTGGGGTGTAAGAAAAAATGCTCACAGGACAATAGTGCACCAGACAGCAGATCACAGGACAATAGTACATCAGACAGTAGATCACAGGACAAAAGTACATCAGACAGTAGATCACAGGACAATAGTTCACCAGACAGCAGATCACAGGACAATAGCACATCAGACAGTAGATCACAGGACAATAGCATATCAGACAGTAGATCACAGGACAATAGTACATAAGACAGTAGATCACAGGACAGTTACTCATCAGACAGAAGATCACAGGACAATAGTACATCAGACAGTAAATCACATGACAATAGTACATCGGACAGTAGATTACATGACATTAGTACATCAGACAATAGATTACAGGAGAATAGAACATCAGACAGTAGATTACAGGACAATAGTTCATCAGACAGTAGATCACAGGACAAAAGTGCAGTAGAATAAGATCAAAGGATAATAGTAAATCAGACAGTAGATCAGAGGGCAATAATAAACCGGTTAAAGTAAAAAGGGTTAAACCAAGAAGAGTTGTAATTCTCTATTTCGTATCTTTTTTTTTTAAATTGTAAGCTTTGTCAAAAGTAGAAAGTTTTGTTTTAAAGGGGCTGTAAAGGAATATGAAAGGGGGTATAGGAAGAAACCTGAGAATCTCAGGCGTTAAACGATACATATAAGGCATCTATCTAATGTTCCTGTCTTGAGAAATTGATTGTTGTCAAGCGATACTGCACATGCCATTGGCTGAAGTTCTGGTGACGTAATACGGACTATACGGATTGATTTGAATTTTCGTACAAATTTGACACAGTTTTATATCAATTTCTCGAGACAGGAACATCAGATAGATGTCTTATATGTATCGTACAACCCTGAGATTCTCAGGTTTCATCCTATACACCCATTCATTTTTCCTTAATACAGTCCCTTTAAATAATTCAATTTTCCACTAATTTCAACATCATCCAGACAATTTTACCATTCAGTGTTTAACAAAATTTAAGAATGATTAACATGATGTTTATCGTAAAGTAAGGTTATTTAAGTGTCTATTAAATATTTTGAGAATAAGAAAACTTAGTGACGTAGTGGAACCGCTATCGTCTTCATCATCAAGGAAGAAATCCCCCAACAAGATTATATAAATCAACAATTTTAGTTCTGGAGACAATATGTAGAGATCTACTCTACTCATCCTTCTCCTCTCACATATAAACTCTCATTACATATGCGATATACTCGATCATAATAAATGTACTTCTGAAGGGAATTTAAAATTTCTTAACGTTTAACCAAAAATAGATATCCAGAATTCTGACCTTTATTTGTAATTTTGTTATTTATCATGAATTCCTTCAGGTTTTTTCATATCATATAGGCAGAAAAAGAATTAAGCCTTTGCCACAAACAACACAACAAACAAATCTAATCCATATATCTTTGCAACCTTTATATTTAAAACTTAGATTTTGATCCATAGAGAAAGTAAACGAAGAGGTAAAGCTTACCTTAGATTTACATAACCGACCTCCCTGTTAATTAATTGATAGGGTGGTCGGTTGTATACATCACGATATGCTTACGTATCATAACACTGTACACTTTTATAAAGAGTGATCGTATTTCTAAGGGGGATTTTATGGAATTGAGTATTCACAAATTTTTAGATTTTCTTTCTGTATATAAATATTCGAGAGTGTTTACTGTAAACATTTAACAATTTTCAAAAAATTTTATGGACACAATTCGAAATCTTTAAAAAATGTGAAAGGCGAAATGTGCTCATGGCGTAATTTTTTTCTGATTCAGAATTTCATAAAGAGGAAAAGGCCGTGTTCCCCCCCCCCACCCCTCCACTCTCTAGCTTGAATAGTTGAGACGGGAGTAAAATTATAATTATGTACCATGCATAAAGACAGCTTCATAAGTTTACAATACTTAAAGAAGAAAACAGCCAACTATGGACATCATGAATATTTTGAAGAGCAATCTATCTACCGGACTAAACCTGAGCAAAGGGGGCAACTAGCCAACCTCGCCCCCTTGTAGGTTTTCAATTCATGCATAGTTAAACATTCTGTCAAAAATATCAAGCTTCCAGGTAAAGTTTCCAGCGGAATGGGTAAATCGTTTCAATAAAAATTTCGCATTTTCGCATTTTGTTCGCTCACGAAAAAATGCGAAAATTTTCGCTTTAATCTGTTTCGCGAAAAAATGAGAAAATTTCGCGAAATAAGAAATCAGAACATTTCGCGAAAAAAATGCGAAAATTTCGCGATAAAAACAAATGCAAACGTTTCGAAGGAAAAAATTCGGAAGCGAAATTATTCATTATGATATAATACAACTTCTAATGCTGAGCTCTCAGAGTAGATAATTCCACAAGTTTTTTTGCGCAATTATGTTGTTGCAGCTAAAGGTTTTCGCGGGATTTTTTCTCGCGAAATTTCGCAAAATTTCGCATCGTTTTTGCTTCATTTGTTCGCTGGAAACCCTACTTCTAGGGCAGTGCATATTTTGTTATTCTTGTCTTAACATGAACAAACAACTGAACTAGAATGTACTAAAGTATACAATCCTGTTTTCACAATCCATATTAAGAATCTATCTATTTATCTATACAAATATTCAATTATCTACATTTAACCACCCCCAAGAAATAAGATTACTCTGTATACAAGTGTACAGTGTTAGATACAGACACATATCGTGATGTACACAACCGACCACTCTATCAACTTATTTATAAGGTGGTCGGTTGTGTACATCTTAGCTAAGCGTTACCACTTCATGTCCTTTCTCTATGATTTGATTCAACAGAATTTAGACAGTTAACGACTTGTTGAACAAATATAGGGAACAGAAATCGGAGTTTGTGGCAAAGACTCGAATCCTTTAACCAGGGGGAGTTTAACTAAACTGAGCTATCTTTCCATGGGGGGGGGACGGGGGCTAAGACCGAATAGCCCCCCTCTTATACGCCCCTGTTTATAGATGCAGATGATTAAGTTGTTTGTTTACATTAAGACCTATCTTCGCCTCAAAGTCTGGTAATAAAGAAAGATTAATGGCTGCACAAGAGGAAAACAATATTTTCTTCACAAATTATTTATTCTTCAAGAGCTAATATTAAATAAATGACAGAGAAGAAGTTTCATCATTTTTTTTGTTCATTTCATTTCCCAATTTTTGTAATGTCTTTTTTATATGTTGTCCCGGAAAGAGCTAAAAGAGACCGGAACAGTCTTTATTTACGATATTTGATGTACTTATTATACATAACAATTCATATTTCATAAGTTCTTTCCACAAATTCAAATTTTCTGATCCCAATATATTTACAACCTGATATATTTCAAACTAATGACTGACATCTAAAACAGAATTAATAGTTTGAGATATCAAATGCTACGAGATTGGGTTGCAAATGATTAAGTTTGAGACCAGAACTCAGTTCCTTTAGACAATTTTGTGATATTTTTTACTGGGACATCACGATGCAGACCTCAAACTATTTGAAATTAACTTTACTTGTGATTGAAAAACTATATGGTTAACACAATTTTTTTAAATATGCCGTTTTTCAAGTTTTTCCGACAAATAATTCTCAAATATTTAATTTTTCGAGTCATTTTTTCCTAAAAAAATTTATGATGTATAATCTGTTTAATAAAACAAGACATTCGTATATATGTTCCCTCTGGCCGGCCAATCGGCAGGGCCGGAGGGAAACAATGGGTAGCCTGGGGGTGACAAGGGCAAATAAATCGATTTTTTTTCTTTTTCAAATTTTTTTTTTCTTCAAAATATTTCTTTTCCCACGGGCAACGCCGGACCCTTGAGCTAGTATGATTTGATATAATAACGTGCCTGTTCATACCATACCAACTCTGCTGTACCAGACCTAATCAGATGTATCAAAGCTACAGTGCTGTACCAGAGCTATTCTGCTGTACCAGACCTAATCAGATGTATCAGACCTACTCTGATGTAACAGAGCTATTCTGCTGTACCAGACCTAATCTGTTGTACCAGACCTACTCTTCTGTACCAGACCTTCTCTGCTGTACAAGAACTTCTCTGCTGTACCAGACCTACTCTGCTGTACCCCCTCTGGCGTTCTTCTGCACCGTCTAGCGTATTGCTGCCCCTTTTGGCGTCCTACTTCACCTTCCGGCGTCCTGATGCACCTTTTGGCGTCCTTCTGTACCAGTTAATCTTGCTGTGCCAGTTCATCTTACTGTGCCCTTTTTTCTCTACCATGCCTGCTGTACCTAACGTACCTGTTCTCAGACATCATCTCTCTTCTCATCCCTCTGATGTCTGAAGGGAGTACCTGTAGCGACTCATTTCTGATGGCTTCCCTTCACATATTAGAGAACACATTATATCATTATTATTTTTTACATTATGTACTGTATCTAAACCTGTTGTTACGTTCAATATATGTTCAGTCAGTCTTTACTTCTCTTTCTATTGGGACTGGCTCATTGGCGACTGGCCGATATGGACCGCCAAAGTATGTATTTACTCATCACCGGTAGGGCCTGAAAACCATGCATTTTATGTTTTAAATATATGTAGATATATTGAATATTGTATATTAAATATTTGTAGATGTATTGTATATTGTATATTAAATATTAAATATATGTAGATATATTGTATATTGTATATTGTGTAGATATTTCAATTCTGTAAGATTG